CTTTTTCTTTAAAATCTTACGGTTTTACTGGGGTTTGTCTTGGAGCTGAGCATTGCAGGATAATTTTCCCAGGAACCTGGTGGACCTTTCAATATATATGTTAAGGTTTTCTTTTAGTTCTAAATAGTTTTCCTAGAGTATAATTTTAAATATTAATTCTGTCTAATTTGTTTAGGTTTTCTTCTTTAGGGACTCCTATTGTACATAAATTGGCTTGCTTTGCCTGTCTTTTATCTCTTCCTTTTCTTTCTCTCCTTCCTTCCTTCCTTCCTTCCTTCCTTCCTTCCTTCCTTCCTTCCTTCCTTCCTTCCTTCCTTCCTTCCCTCCTTCCCTCCCTCTTTCTTTTTCTTTCTTTTTTTCTTTCTCTTTCTCTCTTTCTCTTTCTTTATTTCTTTTTCTTTCCTTCTTTCTTTCTTTCTTTCTTTCTTTCTTTCTTTCTTTCTTTCTTTCTTTCTTCCTTTCTTTCCTTTCTTTCTCTTTCTTTCTCTTTCTTTCTTTCTTCTTTCTTTCTTTCTTTCTTTCTCTCTTTCTTTCTTCTTTTCTTTCTTTCTCCTTCCTTCTCTTCTCTTCTCTTCTCTTTTCTCTTCTCTTTCTCTTTTTTTCGAGATGGGGTCTCGCTTTGTTGCCCAGGCTGGAGTGCAGTGGCACAATCTCAGCTCACTGCAACCTCCACCTCTCGAGTTCAAGCGATTCTCCTGCCTCACTCTCCCAAGTAGCTGGGACTACAGGCACATGCCACCATGCCTGGCTAATTTTTGTATTTTTTGGTAGAATCAAGGTTTCACCATGTTGGCCAGGCTGGTCTTGAACTCCTGGCCTCAAGTGATCCGCCTGCCTGCCTTGGCCTCCCAAAGTGCCCTTTTATCACTTTCAGTCTCATATTTTTTTACTTCTTTACATAATTTCTGTTTTCTTAGATATTTAAGTTTTCTTCCCATATGTGCTTTATTATACTTTCTTTCTGTATGTTGCGCGTTAAACACTTTGCAGTTTGCTCTTCATTTCTGAGATATGCTTGTTCTTTTATTGTAAGCTGTCATTTATTTCTTCCTGTTTTATGTCTATTTGTATCCTGAGTTTTCACACTTCTGGTTTGTATTAAACTTTAATATTTACAATTGCTTGATTATATTTAATTAATGTTGGGATGCTTTCCTTCATTTATTTTTTAGGGGAGTATTTTAATTAGTTACAATGTTTTCTTTTCTTTGCTTTTTTTTCTCTTTTCCACTCTTAGGTATATACCCAAGTTACAATGTCTTTACTACTCATTTTCTGTTTTATTCTTATGGAAACTTTGAAGATATGTCCATGAACCTTTTTTGTCCATGATAAAATAAATATGTAGGATTTTCCTAGACCAGCAATAACAGGTGCTTCTACTGGAGTGAGGGAATGGAGTGGTGTTAGTGTTTATTTGATTTCTTAGTTCAGGGACACTGTTCTCTTGGTATAGGTAGATCTTGTGGGGTGCAGTTTGTCTTAAAGGCATCATAGTTTGGGCTTGCCCCTCTATCTATGCCCTTCGGCTTATGAACACTTGTTCTGTTTGGAAGTCTTTCCCCACTCTATGTGGTGTCCAGCAATTGTCTACTATTTTGTCTACTAAATTGTCTACTATTTTCTTCCTTTCTTTTTTCTCCTGTATTTTTAGTAGGGACAGGGTTTTGCCATATTGGCCAGGATGGTCTTGAACTCCTGGCCTCAAGTGATCCGCCAGCCTCAGTCTCCTAAAGTGCTGGGATTACAGGCATGAGCCCAGCCTGTCTGCTGTTTTCTTATGAAGTATTTGCATGTTTGTGTGCTGGTATGAACTTGTATTCTGAACTTAGACTTAATATTTGCTCCCTTCCTCTCTTGATTCCCAATCCAACAGGAACTTGTGTTGGACAACAGTTCAATTCCTGACCCTGAATCCCTGCCAAGCTACCTGAGGTTTCAGTGGGAGGGCTGCACCCACCCTGCTGATTCCCTGTGGCTGGGAGAGAAACACCAGGCAGTGTGTCCCAGATGGAATGCCTTTATTAATACTGGGGGCCAGGCACGGTGGCTCACACCTGTAATCCCAGCACTCTGGGAGGCCAAGGCAGGTGGATCACCTGAGGTTAGGAGTTCAAGACCAGCCTGGCAAACATGGTGAAACTCCGTCTCTACTGCAAATACAACAATTAGCCAGGCATGGTGGCATGTGCCTGTAATCCCAGCTACTCTGGTGGCTGAGGCAGGAGAATCGCTTGAACCAGGAGGTGGAGGTTGCAGTGGGCTGAGATTGCACCACTGCATTCTAGCCTGGGCGACAGAGTGAGATTGTGTCTCAAAAAACAAACAAAACAAAACAAAACAAAACAAACAAACAAACAAAACCCCAAAAAACAAAAGACTGGGAATGTTGGTCTAAATCAGGTTATTGAGGTGACAAGGGGGGCAGTTGGAGCCGAGGTACAGTGCAAAAGTGAAGGGTAGTGGGAATCAGAAAACTGAAGGTAGTTTGGATGAATTTTCTACCTAAAATGATGACTGCTAACAAATGCATAGTACATTTAAGAAAGGATAGGCTCCTAGCTCTTGCCAGTTCCTTCTTCTTCTTCCTCACCACTCCTCTCATGACTGTCTTGCCTGGATGACCCTCCTTGATTTGGCCTTTCTCTGCTATAGAGTTTCTACTGCCTAAGCCCACCTGCCCTTAGACTGTGGTCCTCAGATCCTGAGCTCCTCAGTCCAGGCCAAACTCCAGCCCTGAAGGGAGCAGCTTCTTTGTCCCCAGGTTCTAGGTCTGAGCTGATGTGGCCTCCACTATAAATAAAAAAAAATTTTATTGTGGTAAAATATATGTAACACGAAATTGATCATCTTAACCATTGTTAAGTGGCATTAAGTACATTAACTATATTCACATAATTGTGCAATTTCCCGAACTTTTCTTTTTCCCTTTTCACAATACAAAAATTTAATGAAAATTGATTAGTGAGCGTGTATAATCCACAGGGGGCTAAATGTTACCTGGAACTGCAGAAGAAACTTAGAATAGATGCTGGAGTAAATGTTATGTATTGTCATCATCTGATTCATCTTCCTTCAAAGATTCCTTGGCATGTTTCTCTACTTCTTCCCTTATACCTTTTGGAATAATTTCATGTCTTCCTTTAGTTAATTCACCAACCTGCTGAGTTCTAATTTAAAAGATTTATTCTTAACTTCATCATGTACTATGTAAATATTTTTGCAACTTCTTAACAATAACATGGCAGGTCATTTCTTTTACAGGAAGCTTTTCTATTTTCTATCTTTGCAGCATGCCTGTCTTTGCCAAGGGCACAATCCCAATAACCGTATGAAATATCTTGCAGAATTGTGCCCTGCCATTCACTCTGTAAGAGCCTACTGTAAAACTATAGCCAAAAGCACTGCAGAATGTATATGCATGGCAACTGTATCTACAAGATGTTTTTGTGGAATGTTATAGCCAAAGTTAGATCTAAAGTTGGAAGCTGCTTCTCTTGTTACCAAAGAAGGAGCATCTGTCAACAAACCTGCTACCACCATTCCAACATGCCAATCAATATTAAAAAGTCTTTTGTTGGAGCCTTCTTCATAAAGTTTAGGAAGACTTCCTTTTCTACCCCAAAGACACCACCATCTTTACCTCTGAGTCCAGTGGCTGTACTACTATTTTCCACAGCCTTCATAGCATATTCAACTAAAATCTCTCCCATCAGGAGATCATGTAGAGGCTGACAAGTCATACCTGGTGTCAATTGAGCTCTTTGTTCTAAAACAAGAAGAACGTGTAGGGCTTTCAGGCCTCCAGAAACTTTTCATCTTATAAAACTGAAACTTTATACTAATTAAACAGTAACTCCCCATCCCTGCCTCCCGCTAGTCCCTGGCAACCACCATTCTACTTTCTGTATGAATTTGATGACTCAAGGTAGCTTGTATAAATAGAATCACACAGTATCTGTTTTTTTTGTGTGTGTGTAACTGGCTTATTTCACTTAGCATAATATCCTCATCCATGTTGCAGTATGGGTCAGAGTTTTCTTCTTTTTTAAGGCCGAATAATATTTCATTGTACATATGTACCACATTTTGTTCATTCATCTGTTGATGGACATTTGGGTTCCTTCTACTTTTTGGTATTTGTGAATAAATGCCGCTATTAACATATCTTTTTGTGACCCTGCTTTTAACTCTTTTGGCTATGTACTCAGAAGTGGAACTGCTAGATAATATAGTAATTCTATTTTTGGTGTTTTGAGAAATCACCATACTGTTTTCCATAGTGGCTGCACATTTTACATTCCCACCAATGGGGCACAAGGGTTCCAATTTCTCCACATCCTCACCAGCACTTATTATTATTGTTCAATAGTAGCCATTCTAATGGGTATGCAGTGACATCTCATTGTGGCTTTATTTCCCTAATGATTAGTAATGTTGAGCATTTTTTCATATGCTTGTTGGCCATTTGTATATTTTCTTTGGAGAAATGACTGTTCAAATCTTTCATAAGAGTTCTTTATAGATGCTCAATATTAACCCCTTATCAGATATGTGATATGCAAATATTTTCTCCCATTCTATAGTTTGCCTTTTCACTCTGTTGATTGTATCTTTTGATATACGGAAGTTGTGAATTTTGATGTGGTCCAATTTATCTGTTTTTTCTTTTGTTGCCTATACTTTTGATGTCATACACAGGAGATCACTGCCAAATCTAATGTCATGAAGCTTTCCACCTACGTTTTCTTGTAAGCATTTTATAATTCTAGGTCTTATGTTTAGGTCTTTGATCCATTTTGAGTTAAGTTTTGTATGTGGGGTATGCACTATCATTTTTGCTCAGAGTTTCCAACACGTAGCAGTGTTAACACAATGCAGTTAAGAAACGGACTCCCATATTTCTACCTTGGATTGTAGGCTAAAATATGTCTTTCGTCCCCTTTCCCAACAAACACTTGCCCCTAGTCATGAAAGAGGCCATAAAAATGTAAGAAAACCAATGCAAAAATTTATATTTTATTTGAATTCAAAAAATTTAAAATTGCTTTCAAATTCAGGAAAGTACCATAATGCAGGACCCCAGGGGGAAGCCTCATATACAGAGACAGATAAATTAAATGTATATACTGCAGACAAGCCAAGAAGGTGTGTAGATTACATATTTACAGCACTGGATGTTTTCTGAAAACCATATTTATACATTTTGTTACATTTACAAAAAAGGCTTCCACTACCGTTTACCTACAATAATGAAAAAAAATTTACACCTTTTTTTTTTTTTTTGGTACTGTACAAACTTTGTATAATAAAAATATATCTCTGTACAAAAGATTTTTTTTGTTTTTGTTTTACTTTTTTTTTTCCTCATGGGATGGTGATGGGTATATGGCGTAGATGGTGGGTGAAGGGCCTCACCTGCCCTGTTCCTTTCCAAGCCTCTGGAGGTGGAGAGAAATGCCAGGGGTGTGGAGGGTGATGCCCAGCGGAGTGCTGGGTGCCCCACCAGCAGGTGCTCCCCGAGCATCTCATGGAACTTTACAAGGAGACGCAGGGGAGGGATGGGGGGGCGGGAAGAGGCGTCCGCTGGGTGGTCTGAGAGGGGCATAAGAAAGGGGAAGGGAGCAGTCAAAGGAGAGGAGCGTCGGGGGGAAGGGAGTGTAAGAAATCAGGAGGGGAGCTTCCTGCACTTGTTTCCAGCCAAGGAAAGAGATGAGAGTGTGAGTGTGTCTGGATTGGCCGTCTCCCTCCAAGCCCAGGGTGCCGTGTCCCAGAGGTGGTGCGGCCAGGGGTAGGCTCCTGCCTCTGTCAGCCTCCATTGTGGCTGCTGGAAACGGACGCCTCTCACTTTACTCTTAACGTCAGTCAGATCTTCTAATTGTTCCAACCTAGAATTTGCTTAAGAACCAGGTGTCGCTGTCCCTCTGCTCCTGCACATTTCTATTTGTTATTTCAATATGTGATATGAACCTCTGAGGCCAGCATATCACACATGTACAGGGGCTTAAGCTTGTGGGGGCCTTCCTGAGGACAGAGAAAGTGGCTCTAAATGCTATACTTTGATTCCTAAACTCTTGAACTTCCAAACAATGCTTATGGAATTCATGAATGACCCAAGCATAATATAGCTGTGAAAATAAATCAAACCCACTTGCAAGGAGCTGGAGAGTGTGACTTTCAGCCACTCCGTTGTTTTGATTCAGGACCTGCCAGGACTTTTATTGGCTATGGTCAGCGGCTGCTGGGAGCCAAGGAGCCAGCACCAACCGCAGGAGGCCTGGGGAGCTGAGTCCTTGCCCCGAGGCTGCCTACGCGGAGACAGCAGAACCCAGATAGGACACACAGGTGTCTTGTCTGGCTTTCCAGACCTGGCCACAGTGCTACCGTAGAGATTCATCGGCTCCTCCCTTCTTAGCTGCCCCTTCTAGACCGGGGTTTCCGGCAGCTGGTGTAGTGGACTTTGGGGCGGACTGATCTGGGTTTGCATTCTGACTCCACACTTCCTAACTCTGTGGCCCACATGTCTTTACCTTTCCAGGCTTCTGTTTTCTCATCTGTCAAAGGGAAATAATAAATCCTACGTTTTGGTGTTATTGTGCAGACTAGAAATACTATAGGTAAAGTGTCAGGCACAGAGAATAAATGCAGTACATGATAGCCATTGTTTTTTGGGTACCAGGGCAGGCTTGCTCCCCTGTTCTCTCAAGAACCCTGCTGCTGTCCCCAGACCTGGCATCCTTTCTGGGCCACAGACTTGTCTTCTCTTCTCTTTCTCAGTTGACAGCCAGACTTGACCTTGGGCTCCCAGCCAGACTCTTGCCCTATCCTCCCCGGTTCTCCCTTCTTTCCCAGTGCTTCCCAGGACCCAAACGACTTTTTAATCCACTGGGTTTAGAACTCAATAAAATTGTGTTTGGAAAAAAATAAACTGATTTTCAATCTATTTCCAAAGACTTTTTTCCTGCCCTTGGGGTAATCCTTGCTGCCACTGTGCAGTTGGGGCCGTCCATCAGCAGACAGCTGGTTTCTGCACGCTGACCACACCATGGGATGTGTCCCACTCTTACAGTCACTGAGTCACCGTGTCCTCACACATGGGATGGGCGGGGGGCATATTGGTTTGAAAGCTGACCGTACCTCCCCGTCTTCATCTCTTCTCTGTGTGCGGGTAACAGGGCATGAAGCATCCTTCATGAGCACTTCTATTTTTGAAGCCTTTATGGTCTCTTCCGGAGGACGTGAATGGAGGAGCGGTGTGTGTGTGTGTATGTAGTCAGGCCCATACACACACACACACACACACACATCCACAAGTTGCTTTGCTATTTTAAATCCATAAACTTTCTTCCTCCATCTGCAACCCCTCTTCCTTTTCTGCCTTTTCAGGACACGGCAGGAGTCCTCTCCAGGGTGACAGGCATAGATGGCGGCAGGGCGAGGGTCCGAGTCCCAGCAGTAGCAGACACAGGCAGAGAGACGAACGAAGATGGGCACTGGGCACTGTGCTCAGGGGAGCCTACTTCCTGCCCCCTGGGGAACTGGGAACAAACAGATCACACCTGGGTTTGCAAAGGAAAAAGAGGCAGTGGGAGGGGAGGGGCCGGGAGCAGAGGAAGAAAAGCAAAGCAGCAAAGCAAAGAAGGAACAAGCGGGAAAGAGATGAATCACCTCGATCTTCACTTTGATTTTAATCTTCCCAGGTTGGGGGTGGGGGTAGGTAGGGAATGCGTGCAGCACAATATGAATTTTTCTGTCTTTTTCCCTTGCAGGGCCAACTTCGCCATTAGACCTGGAGGCCTGGTGCTTGGGGGCCACCATACTTTTAGGAGCCCAGGAAAACATTCTAATTTTAGTTCCTTTCAAAATCAGATGAAAAAAAATGACTAGGATAATAATGGATCAGTAATAAAGAATCCAGGCTGGATTATATTCATTTTTGTAGTGACACAGTTGTGAAATCTCATTTTTAATACTTGTTTTTAACGGAGGAAGGGTCGGCACACATCATCACACAGCCCTGTTCCTCTGCCCTGTTACTCGCTGACTGCACAGGCCTCGTTGCTTCCCTAGTAGGGTGTTTATTTTAATTTCTGCTTTTCTCTTTGGCATTATTTTAAAAGAATTACCATCTAGTCACTCATTTGAAATATGTGGGTGTCTGTTCAGGGTGGCTCTTGCTTTCTTTGTGCTCCAGCTATGGGCAGAAGTGGTCAGAGGGGCCGTGCTGGAGACCGCTGGGCTGGGCAGTGGGTTTGGAGCCTGCTGGCAAGGGGCCGATGCTGAGGGCTGCCCAGACGTGGAGCCGACCCGGAGGTGACAGCATGGCGCACACCAGCACCTGGAACCCAGCAGAGCCCAAGTGTGGAGCAAGAGTGCGTGTGCGGGGTTCAGGGGGCATTCTTGTTTCTTTCCTACACTGTTCAATAATTCATGCAGTGAATCAGATTCCTCACTGATCATCTCCAAGCCCCGATTTACATCGTCAGAGGGGATTTTTCTTTTTCTCTTTTGCCTTCTGTTGATAAGAGTTCTGAGTAGGAAAAAGTGAAGATTGGGCACACAGATGAAACTTGAGGAGTAATTTTGGCAGGCTAAAACAATCCCACTGGAATAAGGGGGAACCCTTATCTAAATGTTTGTTTTGGAGAGATGTAAAAAGATGGGGAAGAGCTCTTTCCATAAATTGTTTGTATTCAGGAGCTGCATCTGCTGCATCCCTGACTCACTCACCATCTGGGACTCAAGCTGAGGCTGTGAAATCCTCCTGGAGTTGTGAGGTGGAAAGGGAGTAAAGCACGTCAGGGGCTGGGCAGTGATAATGACCTTCGCTGCTCTTGTAACCCCCTCGGCAGGAACTGTCCCTAACATCCCCGTTGGTGGCCTTCTCAGGCCCCCTCATACAAGCCTGTTTCCTCGCTGCACTGCCATTTGTGTGTGGCTGGGAATATCCACCACGTGAGCTTCCGTGCATAGGAGTGTGGGGAAGGAGCACGGCACTAGCTCTGGGTTTGGCTGGTGGCCCACTTGGTGGATTTTCCACTGCCCTCACTGGAAATCCCTACCTGGCTGGCTCTGTGACTCTTCTCCCCAGAGCCCTTTAGCCCAGGACCTGAGAGAGGGCACCTGCCTATCCCCAGAAAGCAGGATGTGTGGGAGGACAGTTCTCAGAGGGGTGCAGCTTGGACATCATGTTGGGGCAACTCCTGAAGGGTCCCAGGTCCCAGAGGTGAGGGTGTCATCGAAGGAGGACACAGTGAGGAAGAGGCAGTGCCTTTTAGATTCATCAGTTCCTTCCCAGTGGACCTGTCAGATGCATGCCTGCGTGCGTGTGTGCGTATGTGCGTGTGTGTGTGTGCATGACCGTGTACACATGCAGGTCTGTCTGCCCCTCTGTCCATATCTTGGGGGGCTCCTCCCCTCTGGTGTGCTCAATGTGATGGGGAATTTTGTAAGTCAACCTGCCTACGCTCTGGTGCTCAGTTGACGGGTCAAACACCAATCTGGATATTGCTGTGAAGGTATCTTTTTAGATATGATTAACATTGAAATCAGAAGACTTTGAGTCTCCACAATGTGTGTGGGCCTCATTCAATCGGCTGAAGGCCTTAAGAAAAAGACTGAGGTGCTCCGAGGAGGAAGGAATTCCCTCTCTGACCGCCTTCGGACTCAAGATGACAGCATCAACTCCTACTGGAATTTCTAGCCTGCTGGCCTGCCCTGTAGATTTCCACCTTGCCAGCCAGTTCCTTAGATGAGTGTCTGTCTCTAAATATATATATTTATTTATATTTCTTTCTGTATATAATATATACATATAACTCTATGGAGATGCATATCTATATATAGATGGATAGGTATGGATATATATTGATACAGAGATGTATAGGTATATGTATTGCATGTATAGTATATGAATGTGTATATATACACAATATACCTATATACACACATATATGTGCATCTCTGTATAGCTCTACAGATCTCCAGGGCTTGACTTCGACCCAGAGGATGTATATATCCAGTTGGTTCTCTTTCTCTGGAGAGAAACAGACTAATCCACACTGATGTTCTGCCAAGTCCAGGGGTGGGGAGCACAGTTTCTGCAGCCAGCCAGCCTGGGATGGGATTTTGAACCCACCCCTTCTGAGCTGTGTGATCTTGCTCAAGTTAATTTCTCTGCAGCTCAGGTTTCTCATCTGTAATGGGGCTCCCAGTAGCCTCTACCTCACAGGGGGTGCAGGGATTCAATATGTTAGATCCACAAAGGGCCTGGTTCAGTGCCTGATACACAATGATGCTCAGTGCACAGCTCTCCTCTCACTGGGTGTGTCTGTGTGGCGTGTGCGACTCCGTTGGGTGGAGCCCCTGGCGCACACAGTCCCTGTCTGTGCCTGTCATGACCTGTCTTCCTCCCACACCCTTGCTCACCGGCTGCTGGAGGCGGGGCTCTCGGTGGCGGTGGTGGCAGCCAGGCCGGGTGGCTATACCGCTGTACATACTGTGCTGACTGTGAACTCTGCCTCGCTGGCCATGATGTCTGTGGGCTGGATGTTGCGGTCGTACATTGGGTTCTCAAACGTGGCCCGAACATTGGTGTTCTCGTGGCCAGCGTAGCCATTGAAGGGAACTTTGGGTCTTCTCCTGGCAATAAAAGAGGAAGTGACCACAGCATGAAAAGAGTGACACAGAGAGGCTTAGGGGTCTGGTGCGGTGGGGGGGGGGGGGGGGGCGGGGGGGGCACTGCAAGGAGAGAGGGAGGGCCCGCCTGATGCCCGTCCTGCCTCCTTCCTGCGTGGTACCTGTGCTTGTAGAGATAGAGCACGAAGCCTGCAATGATGAGGGCGATGAAAGGCACCAGGATCGCGGCTGCCACCGAGCTGCTGTTGGAAGCAAAGTGGCGACCGATGGACTCGGGGTCTGACTCCAGCAGCCTGAGGTCTGTAAAGTCCCAAAGCAAAAAAAATCAAGTCACAGAGACACAGTTTGAGGCTCTGTCGGCTGCCCTCCCTGACTATACACTCTCGGGGAGCAGGGCTGCCACTCAGGGTGCTCCTCACTCCTGCTCAGCACAGGAGGCAGGTGTGCCCAGGGCCGCCCGCCTGCCTCCACGTGTGCACTCAGTCCTTGGGGGCAGGGTCCTGCATGCATCTACCTTGTGCCGCTCAGATGGCACCCAGAGGACCACCCGCAGAGGAGGCTGAAACCATGGCTCAACGAGTAAATCTCTAAAGTTCTTTTGGCTGTAGCAGCTTTTTATCAGATGAAACCTTACAGGGACACCAAAATATAAGATAGATGAAGGCAAAACTGTTCTGGATGAAGCTGAGGCACCTCCTTCCGGAAGGCATCCTCCTTCCTCGCCCTCCCCCTGCAGACTGGGAAGGCTCAGAATAACACAAGTAGACACTGTGGCCCCCGTTAGGCACCCTGCTAACTGAGGGGCTGGAGCTCTGAGGGGACAGGATGTCTGCTGTGGAGCCAGGACAAAAACTGTGATTTTCTAAGGCATTTGCAGCGTGCCTGGTCATCTTGGAGTAGGTGAAGGGTGCTGTGTGGAAGACAGTGGTCTCAGTCCATGCAGCTCACGAGGGCAGAGCTGGGGCAATTCCGGGGGAGGAGCAGTGTGGGTGGGAGAGGTGGGGGCAGACCGTGGCTCAGTCCAGAGAAGCTTTCCGGAGCTCGGAGCCAGAGGACGTGCAGTGGACTGCCTTGGCAGGCAGGGGCCCTGGGGACGGCAGGTGTCAGTGCCTGGGGTACAGAGAGGCTCTCCTGTACCCATGGCTGCCTCCTGTTTCCCCCTCCCCTGCTTCTGAGAAACCAGACCCCTCCTGCTACCAGAGTCCGAGGCTGGGCACCTGGAGGCTCTGGGCCAGGACCAGGCTCCAAGGTGTGGATGTTTGACATGAATGACAGGAAGCATGCTAGGTAAAGAGGCCACGGAAGGACCAGGGAGGGAAGTGGCCTTGACTCTCAGTTTTCTCATCTGTACAATGGGCACAAAACCAGCCTTCTAGGACTGGGCTAGGGCAGAAACGACATCACAGTAAAGGCACCCTGGGAGCCCTAAGACACTCCACAATGTTGCTCTTCATTGAGGCAGGGGTGACACCTGAGGGCTGGCTGGGGGTGTGGCTGGGGGCTGTATCTAAGACCCAGTGTCCCTGGAGTTGGGGGCTCTCCCCTCCAGGTCTGAGCAGGAAACTTTGTCAAAGGTTGAGTGGGTTATGCACACGTGTTTGCTTTTGGAGAGATATTCCATAGCTTTTGTCAGAATCTCAAAAGGCGTCCCTGATCCCAAAGAGGCCAAGCACCCCCGCCTCACACTGTTCAACTTCCCCAGTCCTCTACCTGACTGCGGCACACACGGTTTCTCTCCCACCCACCCGGGCCCACACTTCCGGGGCACAAGCACTAGTTACCCAGTCTTTGAAAGCCGAACTGCCCAAAGCCTTGGCCCTTGACGGAGCCTTGGTAGATGAAGGTGCCCCCGGAGGACTCTGACGAGACCTGTGATGGAGGGGAGCACAGAGAGCAAGTGGGAGGCTGCTAGAAGGATCTAGAACTCCTCTCTCATCGTACATGCTGCCCAGCAGGTCAGAGTCACCCACTGACCTGCTGCTCCGACATTCAGGGTTTGTTCTCTACCCACACCCAGGCAAGGGTGGGCGTGACCGGGGAGCCCGGGATGGGGCAGGGGCACCAGCTACATGTATGAGGTAGGAGGAAGATTTTATTTTCTACTGGTCAAATCACTTAATCTGTCTGTGCCTCAGTTTCTCATATGCAAAATGAGAATAGTAACAGTACCTATGTCATAGGGTGGCTGTAAGGATGAAAGGAGTTAATAAAGATGAAACACTTCAGAACGCTTCATTTATAGGCCTTAGATGCATGGTAGCTGTTATTACTGTGATGAAAAACCACCTTTTGGAGCATTAGGAACATACAGAACCATGGTGAAAATGTCCCTTGCAGATTAAAGGTATTGGAGAGTTCCTCACAGTTCTAAGAGCTATTAATTTTTTAGGGGGCATAGCTGGGGACCTAACTCCTGCCACTGATGCTCATGTGACAGATGCAGACCCCCAAATGTGCAGTCTGGGGCCGCAGCAGCTGAGGGCATGCTGTGAGGATGCCTGTGCTCCTGGCTACTTCCAACCTATACTCCGTGGCTAGAAGCAGCCTCTGTCTGCCCTCCCCAGCTGTCCCCCAAAACACGCCTCACTGGCTATCAAAAGGCTCCACGGTTGTTTGGCGTCCTAGGCAGTAGCTCCAGCTGTTCCTGGTCCTCTGGAGCCCCATCGTCATCTTCCCCTGGCCTACACTCCTAGCTCCATGTCCCAGCTTTGACCCTCCTGGATGGTGGAGTCTATTGTTCCTGCACAGCTTTTGGGCCACGATGATTGAAGCTGGCCCATACTTGGATTACAAAGGTGACCTACAGATACCCTTGGGCCTACCAAGGAACTACCCGTATGTGCCAGTCCCTGGAGAAGCCACTTGGTTCTCCTGATGTGCTTATGAAGCAAAGTCAACTCTGCCACAGCCCTCCACCAGCTGGTCCTGTCCATGAGAACGCACTGTGACTCCCTAGCTCCCTGCTATTCTGCTCTACCGCGACCTCTCACTTCATTCTATGCTTTCTCTTCTAGCTCCAGCAATCCAAGACAGAGAAATGGAGGACGTGGCAGGGGACGCTATGCTCAACTCCACTATGTGTGAAATAGGAAGGTGTGGCCAGAGAAGTGTCACTGGAGACCCAGCTTCCACCTCAAGAAAGCCCTAGAATAGAATGTCTTTTCCACAAGGGAATGCAAGAAAGTCCTATCCCTCTGCCATGTCCTGGTCTCTCAAAGCTCTGCTAAATCACTGACAATCTGCATCCTCAAGTGTGAGCAGAAGTTCAAGGTAGTCACGTGAGACTCACTGCCTTCTTCCAGCTCCCACCCACCACATCAATACCTTCAACTAGCCTGAATTCCCTCTGCCCCCGATCTTCATCCCTTGCTTTCTGTTCAAACAACAGAATTTACTCCAACTCTCTGGCTTTTAAAATCTTTTCCTTTGCTTGTTTCATTAGCAGATGAAGACCCTCTTGCTGCTCCTAGGCAGGGCCTCACAGAAAACCTCCTCCCAAGTTTCCAGATTGATCCTAGGAGTTCGCACACCCTTGTGTCCTCCTCTTCCCTGTCAGTGATCTGGGAATCAGGGGAGGAGGTGAGTTTGCTGAACTTACGTGTCCATCTAAAGCCCAGTGATCATCTCTGAACTTATTCACAAAGATCTCCACTGGCCCTGTAATCTGGTACACCTGGAGTAGGAGATGAAAATCTTCTTTCTTGTAAGTTCCTGGGAAATAAAGTTCTGGGGTTACACATGAAAGATCTGGGAAAATTTCAAAACTAAAATTTGTGGGTTGGTGGGTGTAAGTTTCTGGGTGGAATTTCATGTGTAGATGTTGATATAAACATTCCCCACATACCTTTAAGTTGTAAGTGTAGTGTTGAGTGTGGGTTTGTGTAGGCTGAATGTGGTTATATGCAGGAATTATTAAGATATGCATATGTATGTTAATAATTGGATTATTGGGTTGAGGTTGTGATCCTATTGACACAGGCATGTGTGAGAATATGATTTTGTGTGTTTTAATCTGTCCACTGATGCACAGATAGTTCAATGGGTGCAACAGTTCATGAGGGCATGGCCATGGGAGCATGTGAACGTGTCTATCATGTGTGAAATGAGCAAATGTCATCCCGCAGTTGCATAGGTGTGTGCACGTATGAATGCGTAGATAGGATTGTATGTGGGGTTGTGCATTAAGGTGTTCATTCACTCACACATTGATTTATCTATGTATGGCCATCTATCCATGTATTCAATAAACACTGTTTTCTAAGGTACTTACTTTTTCTGATTATAGGAAGATTGAAAATTGGGAAAATTTTAGAAAATGCCAAGATGCATGAAGAAAAAATAATCTCTCCTGATCTCACTAAGAAATAACCACGTTACTGTAAATAATTCTAGTTTTCTTTCTTATGAATGTAATGTTTCCTTTAAAAAACTGGAGTCATATTTTAAATATATTATAATGAATGCATTTCCCTCAACACTGGCATAATATTTCATCTAGTAGATATACTATCATTAAAATACCCATTTCTCTATTTTAGGGAAATTTTCTAGTTCCAGTTTTTACATAGCACAAATGGCCTTGTAATGGGAACAGCCTTTATTTAAAAATGTTTGACTCCCTCCATATCTTCTTATGACAAAAATTGTTAGAAATGTAATTAATGGGTCCAATCATTTTCAAGCATCTTGATACAAACCGCCAAATTGTTTTCCCAGAACTGTACCATTTTAGAATTTGGCCTTCATGGCTGAAACCGACCTGCACTAAGTGTTATCATTTAAAAACACTCTTGAGTTGATAGTGTAAGTGGAAAATGACGTTTTGTGTTTACTTTTTTTTTGATGATTGCTGAGAAATATTTTTTCCTTTGTTTGTTGACTGACTGTACTTTGGCTCCTGGGAAGTCTCTGCCCCTATTTTTGGTTCAGTTTAGGGATATCAGTCTTTTCCCTTTGTTTGTAGGAGTTCTTTGTATATTCAAGTTATTAATATTTGCCATTTAAACATTTCCCTTTAGTCCATGGTGCTTTATTATGTAAAGATGAATAGACATTTCCTCTTCCCTGACCACCAGACAAGTCTGAGCCTTGCATGACAGTATGATGCAATGCCATTAGGCTCATTCTTGCTAAGGGTATGTGCCCATCCATCCTCCTGGCTTCCATAGAGAGGTCTGCTCCTTACCAGCCAAGTGCAGCTCCACGCCACTGTGGTCAATCATGGTGGCATTGACCTTGCTGTTGGCAACTTGGAAGCCAGTCACTCTGAGCATGGCTGGCTGCTTCTTCCCCTGATATTCATAGGCCCCTTTCCACAGGGAATTCTTGGCAAAAACATCCCCAGGAACTAGAGGAATTGAGAAATAGATGTGAGAAGGACTTTGTGTGTGCTGCCAGAATTGGGGTGACCTGATGACTGATTCCAGCCCACTCACTGGGATTGTTTCCTTTCCCCAACGTCTAACGTGGGGAGGGTGGTAGAACGCTCTGGCCTCTTCTCCTCTTGTGTCTCAGAGTGGATGGGTGAAATAAATATCCACTCCCATGTTCATTGCAGCATCATTCGCAATGGCCAAGATAGGGAAACAACCCAAGTGTCCGTGAATGAATGAACAAATAAAGAAAAGGGTATATATACATACACTATGGAATACTAGACAGCTTTTAAAAAGAAGGAAATTCTTTCATTTGTGGCAACATGTACGAACTGGAGGACCTTATGTTAACTGGAATAAGCCAGGCACACAAAGACAAATATCATATGATCTCACTTACATATGGAATCTAAAAAAGTTGAACTCATTGGAGTAGAGAGTAGAATGATGGTTATAGAGGCTGGGGCAGAGTGGAGGGTGATGGAGAGATGGTCAAAGGGTACAAAGGTTCCATTAGACTGGAGGTATAAGTTTTGGTGATCTACTGCATGTCATGGTGACTATAGTTAATAAGAATGTATTTTACATTTCAAAATTGCAGAAAGAGTAGACTTTTTTGTTGACATGGAGTTTTGCTCTTGTTGCCCAGGTTGGAGTGCAGTGGTGTGATCTCGGCTCACTGTAACCTCTGCCTCCCAGGTTCAAGCAATTCTCTTGCCTTAGCCTCCCAAGTAGCTGGGATTACAGGCATGTATCACCACGCCAGGCTAATTCTGTATTTTTAGTAGAGATGAGGTTTCACCATGTTGGTCAGGCTGGTCTCAAACTCCTGACCTCAGGTGATCTGCCCACCTCGGCCTCCCAAAGTGCTGGGATTACAGGCGTGAGCCACCACACCCAGCCAAAAGAGTAGATTTTAAATGTTCTCATCACAAAAAATAACTGAGATGATGGGTATGTTAATTAGCTTATTTATTCCATAATGTATACATATAGAATAACATCACATTGTACCCTATAAATATGTTTACTATTTGTCAATTAAAATTAAATTATTTAAAAAGATATAGAGAGGGAACTAGAAATGAGGTAGAGAAGAAGGAAGAAGAAAAGAGGAGAAAAGGAGAAGTGTTTAAAAGATGGAGAAAGGGAAGAGGGGAGAAGAGAGACAAAACTGACATGTCAGTATAGCATGGTGAATCGGAACATGGGCAAGTGAAGTCAGACAGACCCAGAGTCTAATCTTAGCTCTGTCACTTATCAGTTGTCTGATCATGTGCAAAAGGCTTAACTTTCTCCCTGTAAAGGCTATGCCTGTATTCCTATAAATGGTGGCCATCCCATCTACCTTATCAGGGTTATTGTAGGGGTTAAATGACTAATGTTATAAATTGTATGTTACATGATTTGCATGTGTAAAAGCACTTAATCAGTGATAGCTACTAAAATTGTCATTTATCCTTGTAATCATTCTCTATGGCAATTATTATGATCTCTATTTTACTGAAGCTTAAGAGGTGAAGCTCACTTGTCCAAGGACACAGCTGGTCAGTGACCAAAATGGCACTCAAATTGAGTTTCTGATGGCAAATCTAGCCTCGTTTCCTGCATAATACACATGCTAATGTGGTAAATAAAAGTAGAAGGTTCATAAAAGGATGTGATAGTCTCTAAGAATTTGGCATTGGCCAGGCCACATCTGCAGTCTCTATCCAGTTCTGGATGTGATACTTGGAAAGACCCCAGACCTATTTTAAACTGTAACCATTTCCAGGAAGCTCCCCGGGCATGACCTGGGTCGATGTGTTTGTATGACCACACACTGGTCAGTCCTATGCCAGGAGGGGCTGTAGTAATTAACAGTTCCAAAGCTTCCTGTTGGAAGGCACTAGCTCTTTCTTCCAGATGAAGTTTCTGCTTCCTTCAGGCTCACTTTCTTCTGAAGTCTGCCTGGGCTGGGGAGGTGGGTAGGGAAAGCCATCCAGATCTATAGATAGTTTTCATGGCCTTCCTCTAGGCACTCAGCAACTCTCAGCAACTCGTGTTTTCTGGCTAACTCTGTGAAAAAAGTAATGCCAGTTTCTTGAGCCAATGATCTGGACCATACATACTCAAGGCTTGGGTGAGCGGTGGCTCCCGGGCAGTGTTGATGGGTCTCCCACTGGGCCGGACCTCTGCTGGGGAAAAAGAGTGGAAGAAAACAGGTTCAGCTTCTGGTTCATACTCTGTTGGAAAAAATAATGGCCACCTGTCTGACCTTAGGTCAATGGGTTCTTTGAGATCTTGCTTTGGACTTACTATTTTTTAGACCAGGAAGTGGACTGCTTTGATGGTCTGATGGTGCTGTGGATCCCTCTCAGAATAAAAAATACTAAGAGTTACAAAGGAAGTCCATTTGATTAGCTGGAGTTATTAAAATAGTAGACAAGACATTAGCATATAGCGGTATATGTGATTCTTTATCACTATATTAAATAATGGGATCTAGCAGTGAGTCTAGAAATGACCATAATCTTGAAGTAGTCAGGAACATGAACAGTATTTCATGATATTGGTAGCAACGGGAATGTAAACAAAAATCTCTTCAATTTCTATGGGTGACAAAGTCACAGGTGCTAACACTCCTAATGGTTGTTGTCTACGTTCAGAATTAAAGGAGCTGCTACATTCCAGTAAAAAGTAAAGGAAAATAAAGGTGTACATTTTCCCATCCAAGTGCACAGGCTCCCTGAACGCCCTCATTGAAAACTTTGGGGAGGCTGAGGCAGGAGAATGGAGTGAAGCCGGGAGGCGGAGCTTGCAGTGAGCCAAGATCGCACCACTGCACTCCAGCCTGGGCGACAGAGCAAGATTCCATCTCAAAAAAAAAAAAAGTCCTGTCCTCAACTGTGCTTTCCTTCCAGATGCCTCACATGAAGGAGAAACTTCTACCCATCAACAGTGAGCTCCATGAGCCCTGGTGGGGGTTGCAGAGGAGTGCATTCCTCCCTTGGAATGATGAGATTAAGACCAAGAAGTTCTCACAGGCAAAGCAAAGGCAAAAGCTCTGGGCCTGAGCCAGACAGCCAAGGTTTAGGTCCCAGCAGTGTCACTTAATGACTGTGTGACCTTGACTAGTAACTTTACCATCAGAGTCTTTGCCTCCTCATTTGAAACACGGAAAAAACTAAAACATACTTCACAGGTCTATGCTGAATAAATGAGGTTATGAACAGAAAGTCATAGTCAGTAAATATTAATGTCTTTTCTTCTTTTGCAGAGAAACAATAGAAAATCTGCCTTGTTGCCATTAAGGGCAGGCTTCCCACTGTCTGCCCTGGCGGGGAGCACAGCTTTAGCAAACCTCCTTCAACTCTGGAGGTCAGCCTATGCCTGAGTATACAGAATGCTGTGGAGAAAGTTTCTGCAGTGACTCAATGCAAGTGTACTTCTGAACAGAATGCTTTATCGTCTTAGGTTTCGTAAGATGAAAGGAGCAAAGAAGGAGACAGCGCCTTATGTGTGAGGTACTGTGATAGGCACTTCTTCATTTACTCCGCTCTTGAAACTCTGAAGTAGAGATTATTGACCCCATGTTACAGCAGAGAAACTTGTTGAAAGGCAGAGAAATGAAAGGGCTTGCTCAAGATCATACAGTAAGGGGTTGAATTCAGCTGCATCTAAAACATTATATATTTTTAAATAAAGTAGCTATAATAATAGATTAAAATATTTAAGAATAAGTGTAACCAAACAAATGTAAGACTTGTACACTGAAAAATATAAAACATCTAAATAAATGGAAGGATATGACATGTCCATTGATTGGAAACCTTAATACTGTTCAGATGGCAATACTCCCCAAATTGATCTACAGATTCAATGCAATTCCTGCCAATATTCCAGCTCTCTAGTTTGCAGAAATTGACAAGCCAATCTTAAAATCTGTGTAGAAACAAAAGGCAAAACAATAGGCAAACAATCTTAAAAAACAACAAAGTTGGATAACTGATACTTTCCAATTTTTTTTTTCTTTCATTTAAAAAAAATATTTTTATTTAGAGACAAAGTCTTGCTCTGTTATCCAGGCTGGAGCGCAGTGGTGTAATCATAGCTCACTGTAACCTCCAAATCCTGGGCTCAAGTGATGCTCCCACCTCAGCCTTCTGAAGAGCTAAGACTACAGGCGTACACCACCACTCCTGGCTAATTTCTTCACTTTTATTTTTTTGTAGACATGTAGTCTCCCTAGGTTACCCAGACTGGGACACTTGCCAATTTGAAAACTTACTACAAAGCTACAGTAATCAGGGCTGGCTGGTAATGGTATACAGACAGTCATAGAGATCAATGGAATAGAATAGAGAATCCAGATATAAACTCATACATTTATGGTCAAATGGTTTTTGACAGTAGTGTCAAGGCAATTCAATAGGGAAAGAACAGTCTTGCCAACAAATGGTGCTGGAACAACTGGGTCCACATACAAAAGAATGAGTTTGGATTCTAACCTAATATCATAAAAAATTAATTCAAAATGGATCAAAGACATAAATGTAAGAGGTAAAACTATAAATCTCTAAGAATAAAACATAGGCATAAATCTTTGTGACTTTGGATGTGTTAAAGTTTCTTAGATATGACATCAAAAGCATATGCAACCCCCAAAATAGATAAGTTGGATTTTATCAAAATTAAAAACACTAGTGCTCAGAGAACACTAACAAGAGAGTGAAAAGAAACCCCACGAAATGGGAAACAATTTGCAAATCATGTACCTTATAAAGGCCTTGTATTTTAGATAGAGAAAGAATTCTTTCAACTCAACAGTAAAAAGATAAATTAGTAAAAAATGGACAAAGTATTTGAATAAGGAAGACATACACATAAAAAAGTGATGAGCACCATTAGCCATTAAGGAAATATAAATCATTTTTGCACAATGATACAGGCAACAAAAGCAAAAGTAGACAAATGAGATTACATCAAACTGAAAAGCTTCTGCACAGCAAAAAAACAAAACAAAACAAAAAAAACACACAAAAAAAAACAATCAACAGAGCGAAGAGGCAACCTATGGAATAGGAGAAATTGTTTGCAAACCATACATCTGGTAAGAGGTTAACATCTAAGGAACATATAGAAGGAACTAAAACAACTCAGTAGCAAGAAAATAACCCGATTTAAAAACAGGCAAAGAATCTGAATAGACATTTCTCAAAAGAAGACATACAAATGGCCAACAGGTATATGAAAAATGCTCAACATCAATAACCATCAGGGAAATGCAAATGAAACCCACAATGAGATATCACCTCCTGCCTGTTAGGACTATTATAAATAAGATTAAAGATAACAAGTGTTGGTAAGGTGGTGGAGAAAAGGAAACTTTTGCACACTGTTAGTGGGAATTTAAGTTAATATAACCATTATGGAAAACAGTATGAGGGTTCCTCAAAAAATTAAAAATAGAACTACCATGTGATCCAGCAATACCATTATGGAGTATACATCCAAAGGAAACAAAATCAGTAAGTCAAAGAGATACCTGCACTCTCATGTTTATTGCAACATAATAGCCAAGATACGGAAACAACTTAAGTGTCCATCAGTGGATGGATGGATAAAGAAAATGTGGAATATATACACAATGGAATACTATGCAGCCTTAAAAAAGAAAGAAATCCTGCCATTTGTGACAACATGGATGAACCTGGAGGACATTATGTTAAGTGAAATAAGCCAGGTACAGAAAGACAAATACTGCACAATCTCACTTATCTGTGGAATCTAAAATAATTGAACGAATAAATAGAAGTAGAGAATGGTGGATACCAGGAGCTAGGGTGGGGTGGTACTGGGGGGTTGGAATTGGAAAGATGATGGTCAAAGGGTACAGAATTTCAGTTAGATGGGGAATAAGTTCAAGATCTCTTGCACATCATGGTGACCACAGTTAACAACAATGCACTGTGTACTTGAAAATTACTGAGAGTAGATTTTGTGTTCTTACCACAAAAAATGGCAAGTATATGAAGTTAATGGATATGTTGATTAACATGACTTTGCCACTCCACAATGTATACGTATATCAAAACATCATGCTGTACACTCTACATATATACAACTTTTATTTGTCAATTAAAAATAATTAATTGGATGAAAATTCAAACAATAAAAAACACCACAATGAGACACCACTTTATACCCACTGATGATGGATACACTAAAACAGGACAGACAACTGTTGGGAAGGATGTCGAGAAATTGGACCGTGAGGCATTGCTGGTGGGAATAACATGGTGCAGGCACTTTGGAAAACTTTGGCAGTTCCTCAAAATATTACACATAGAGTTACTGTTCTCCTAGATATGTACCCAGGAGAACCGAAAACATATTAAAACAAAAACATGTGCATGTATGTTCACAGAAGCATTATTTGTAATAGCCAAAATGTGCGAACAACCTAAAGAGCCATCAACAGGTGAATGGATAAACAAAAAGTGATGTCCATATGATGAAATATGATTCACGCATAAGAAGGAAAGAAATTCTGACAGATGCCACAACATGGATAAATCTTGAAAACGTTATGCTAAGGGAAATAAGCCAGACACAAAAGAACAACTACTGTATGATTCCACTAACATGAGGTACTTAGAATAGGCAAATTCACAGAGGCAGAAAGTATGACAGCAGTTTCTATGGGCTAAGAGAAGGGGGAAATGGCAGTTATTGTTTAATGGGTATGGAGTTTCTGTTCAAGATAATGAAAAAATTCTGGAAATGGATAGTGGTGATGGCTGTGCAATATCATAAACATAACTGATGCCACTGAATTGTACACTTAAAATTTTATATTATGTATATTCTATCACAATAAAAACTTAATAAATGTACTTCAATAAATGTACTTTATATTACTACCATATGTGGAAAACGAAAGAAATTTACAAGCGATACAATGAAAACAAAACGCCGTTAGTGAGTTCTAGCTCTGATACAATCTCTGACCCCTGAAGGCTTCCCTCTGAGTGGCAGGATAGCAAAATAGTCATAGATCCTAAAGTTAGACCATCAGGGTATGGATCTTCAGCTCTTAACCTTTCTCAGCTGGGGACCTTGGACACATTCATTAACTTCTCTGTGCCCTAGTTTCCTCATCTATTAAATAGCCTCATAGGATCTTGTGAAGATTACATGAGTTGAAACATACAAAGCACTTAGCACAATGCCTGGTATCTGGTAAGGTCAGTGCCTATCAGAGAGTTTAATGCCATTCCAGCACTGAACTAATCCTTTATCCTTAATCCTTTCTCTCAAGACTGGACTCAGACATCACCTTCTCCAGGAAGTCCTCCCTGACTTCTCCTTTCCCCCACTTTAGTGCCCTTCCTCCTCATTCCTACAGCATTTGGCACATCTCCATGTTCCTCCAGGTACTCCAGATATAAAATCTGATAATGTGTCTGTCTTCCACATGGCAGGGTTGTGTTTTTCCCCTCCGAATCCCTCATGCTTAGTGCAGGCATGGGGCCTCATGAACTCTCAATCAATAGAGAATGAATGAATGAAGAAGAGGGGAAGGAGGTCTGGGACATCCTCATAACCCCAAGGGACCTACAGGCGGGTGCTGTTTTATCAAGGGTGTAATATGCGTAATGCGTCACTCCAGGTTGGTGGAAGAAAGCACTTTCCTCTGCCCGATGATGAAATGCGATCCTGTGAGTGTTTCAGCCCAGGCAAAGGGGGCAACCCTTGGGGTGGGTTGAGTATGGACCTTTTTAGACCACTCTCTGGTTTGCTCTTCTAGACCCAAAACCTTAGAAAATCAGAAGCAGGATCCAGCTCCTGGAAATGTGATTCCTTCCTTCTCTTTTGCCCTCTTTCAGCTCAAGCTCAGCTGGCACCTTCAGCCTCCCACCCTGGAGAGCTTCCCCGAGCAGGCACACTCACCCAGGCAGATGGGCGGCTTGCCTGTCCAGCTGCCATCCGCCTTGCAGGTGCGGTGCTCGGAGCCACCCTTGAGGGAGAAGCCCTCCTGGCAGGAGTAGATGAGCGTGTAGCCCATGGAGGGCAAGTCCAGGGCCCCGACGTTGGCATGCGTTGGCGTTTCTGGCTGCCTGCAGTGGTGGGCTGGATGAGAGGAAAGACCTCGTTGGACCAGAGGAGATTAGGGGCTTCAGGGGCCCTTTTGACCATTCCTCTGTTCCTAGATAGAATATCCTCTTCCTTCCCCTTCTAGTCCCTTTCATGCCAAGCATCCCCCCTCCGTAATCCTCCGCCCTAACCCCAAGCTCTGTGTCTAGAGGAATGGCCAAGATGGAAATCATGTGGATATCGGCTTGGTTGACTCTGGGCATGGGAAACCTAAGCCTGTAGCACTTCCTGAGGGGTAAAGGAGTAACTGGGTCAAAAGCTTGATCTCTCCACCCTGAGGCCTGGCCTTGTAGTTGTTGGTTTTTGCTGCTGTCACTGGATAGTTTTTTTCTTTGCTAAGGCATAGGGACTGCCTTCCAGTATCAGAAAGGCTTTTGTGTGGAAGTCCTCTGTGAGGCCCTAACACGTAAGGACTACAAACAGACCGATGTTGATTCACAAGGGGAGTTGTGAGCTCCCTGTCATTCAGAGGATTCAAGCATGTCCCAGATGCCCAGCTGGGGCAAGAGGAATTTTTCTGGGATGTGGGTGAAGTCTGCACTCACGGACACAGTCAGGCGGGGTTCCACTCCAGGTCAGGTTTGGGAGGCAGGTCCTGGTGGTGGAGCCCTGAAGCAGGTAGCCCTTTTGACAGCGGAAGAGGACTGTGCTTCCAACCTGCGGCAAGGACACAAAGTCCCATCGGCCCCTTCCTTCCAGCAGTGCTTCCTACATCTGTCCTTTGACCACTTTCCCATGGCCCAACTCCTCCCCTGCTGTTGCCTGCAAAACTCTTTTTCTGATTCTCTGCCTGGTTAAATTTTCTTCCTCCTTTGAGGCAGTTGATATGATGCCTCCTCCACAAGGCCTCATCTAATACCCCAAACAAAGTTATAATATTACACTCTGTTGTGGACACAGTGCCTGATTCAGAGTCAGAAGACCCTGGATCCAAGTTCTGGCTTCTGTATTTACTCAGGACAGGCTGCATGGAACTCTGTAAACCTTAGTCTTCCTAAGGATAAAGTGGGGATGACCATCCTTGCCACAATCACACTGGAATGTTGTGACACTCAAATGTGATGGCAGATTTGACAGTATTTTACAAAATGTGAAGAAGAGTGTAAATTAAATATTGTGCGTGTGTCCCTTTCCTCGATGAAACTACGAATTCTTTAAGGATGGGAGACTTGTCTACAGATATGGCCCCCATAGAATCTGTTGAATGAACTGCCACCCTCCCTCCCCACTCCGCTCAGTTATGTTCCCCATCTTAACCCTCCACCAGCCCCTCGCTGTACAACTCGACACTCCCACAACTACAGTCTCCATCTCTCCCTACCCAATCCACTTGGTGTAATGTGGCTAGATCTGTTTCCTACACTGCAACTCGGATTATACTACTTCCCAGCTCAAACACTCATGTGTCCCTATTAGCTACTGGAACATGCGCAAATGCAACGTGTAACTCTTAATTTCCACTCCCTTCTTCCAAGCTGAACACTCTTTATCTTGGATTTCATCATTTGACTTAACAGATGGCACCTTTATCCATGCAGTTGTGCAAATAAAGAACCTCCAGTCATCTTTGATCCCTTTGACCCCACAATCCATCCCATCAATGAATCCTCTTGGTTCTACCTACAAAACATATCCTGAACAAGCGCTCAGGATCACTTCTCACCTTCTCTTTCCCTGAAGTCATGGCAACAGTGTCCTCCTTGTCTAAGTGCTTCTATTCTCAATTGCCTGAGTCATAGTTCAAATGAAGAATCAGATTGTGTCACCTTCAAATGGCATTTTGGATAAAATCCAAAAGACTTATGATGGCTTCAAGGCCCTGCAGGACCTGTCCCACGCTGCTGCCTTTGCAAAAATTATGTGATATCTGACATACACAAAGTAATATATGGAATACATATAAAGTATAATAATAAAATGGACATTTTAGATTGAATCCACATGCAACTTCAGAGCTAGAACGTTACGGACATGGTTGTAACGTCCTAGGGCCTCTTTCCCTGCTCTGTTCCTCAACACTCCTCCGTAGTAAAGGCTGTCTGGAAATTTGTGTTAATTTCCTTGCCTTGTTAAAAAACGATCCTATCACATATGTGCATACATATCTCTAAACAATTTAATACGTTTTTGCTGGTTTTAATATTTATAAAAGTCGTGTCATGCCACCTTTGCCACTTGATAGTATGTTTCTAAGATGCATCCATGTCATGCAGAGCTGTAGTTCATTCATTTTCTTTGCTGTATGATAATCCATCACGTGACTACACCCACAACCTTTCCTGTTTATTGGTAATATGTGCAAGAGTGTCTCTGGGATATGTGTGCAGAGGTGGAACTTTCGGGTCATAGAGTGTGTGAATGTTTAACTTTACACACCAGGACCAAGCTGTTTTCCACCCTAGCCTCGCTCTGGACTACATTTCCTTCTTCTCTCTCACGGGGCTGAAGACTTGCTAGCTGGCCTGTTTTCCACTCCCTTCTTCCATGCTGAACACTTTTTTGTCTTGGATTTCATCCCAGGCTGCTAAACACATCCCTCAGCACTCCTTTGCAGCAGCCTTTCGTTCAGCCAGGAATGTCACCCTGCTCTGCACAGGGCTAGCCCTTCTCATCATGGAGGCCACAGTTCAAATGTCACCCTTCCCTAACTACCCTTCCTAAAATGGCAACCCACCCCGTTCACACCCCTTCATATCACACTGTGTATCACATCCAGTGCTCTCAGAAGCTAGCTCGTTTATTTATTTACCATCTGCAGCCAGGCAGTTCCCTTCAAACAGGCACCCAGCCTATCCTGTTCCCGCTGTATTCCTAGCACCTAGAACAGTTCAGTGCCATAAGCACGTGCCGAGTGAGTACAGACCAAGTGAATAAGTCACATTACTTGACTAGATCCCAGCCTGTCATGTCCAGGTGAGTCTGATATTTTCCTGGGCAAGTCTTGGACTCCAGCTAGTTGTCTTGCCTTGAACACACCCATACTTTCCTCTTCTTCCTTTTCTCTGTTCAATGTATCCCAACCCAGACTGTCCAGGTTCTCTCCTCCCAAAGCTCATGTGAGATGTGTCCGCAGGGCCCGCGTCCTGATGGGCCAGGCATGCCGATGGGCCTGCCACATGTGTGATACATGTTCATTGCCACTGTGCATGAGCTCAGGGTCCGTGGGTGGGCTGGGCACCTTGAGAACAGAGGTCTGTCTGTCTCACTCACTTCCGTATTTCCACAACTACCCTGCCTGGGACTGGCGGGAAGTGTTCCTGGAACTGCACGCCACTGTCCCTTCTCATCAGTTTCTCTGATGGATGTTAGGGTCCTTCTGTTTCTGCAGGGTGCTCCCATGGAGCACTGTTCAAAGAGGCAGAGGGCTTTCTTTCTGCGCTTTCCAAGCTCTTGTCTTCCCCGAGTGCTGTGCTGAGGAAGGTCCTGGGTCCTCTTTTTTTTTTTTTTTTTTTTTTTTTGAGATGGAGTCTCACTCTGTCGCCCAGGCTGGAGTGTGGTGGCGCGATCTCGGCTCACTGCAAGCTCCGCCTCCTGGGTTCACGCCATTCTCCTGCCTCAGCCTCCTGAGTAGCTGGGACTACAGGCACCCGCCACCACGCCCGGCTAATTTTTTGTATCTTTAGTAGAGACAGGATTTCACTGTGTTAGCCAGGATGGTCTCGATCTGACCTTGTGATCCGCCCGTCTCAGCCTCCCAAAGTGCTGGGATTACAGGCGTGAGCCACCGCGCCAGGCCCCTGGGTCCTCTTATGGCAGTGACAGAAAGGGATAGGATGTAGGAATCCCCTATCTTGGCTGACCTCCTTACCTGGTAGCCCTGAGAATTGTTCTGTATCCCAAACTGTGGCACGCCAGGGTCTGCACACGTGGTCAGGGTTGGATCTGGATGGCCAAAACAAAGACACAGATCACATGGTCATGGAAGCCTTCACTACCTCGTCTCACTCTGGGAAATAGGTGTAGAAAAGAAAATGGGGCCACATCGTTACTTTCCTGCCCACTGAGATCCCCACCTGAGCCTTGGCCCTGGCTGCCTATTTGACTCCTCGAAGCACACTAGCTCTGGCTATTTTACATCCTGCTGCAGAAGCTCAGAGGAGGAGATGCTCCCTTTTGCAGACGAGACCACTGAAGACACGGAAGGAAAGTGATCATCTCAGGCCCCAAAGAAGGTCCCTCCTCCCCAGCCAGGATGCACTCTGCCCCAGGTGACCTCTCACCTATGCAGCTGGGCTGGGTGCCACTCCACGTCCCATCTGACTGGCAAAACCTGCGTGGAGAACCCACCAGCACCAGAGGGGGGTGGCAGGAGAAGGAGACAGATGACCTGTAGGAGAAGCCTCGGTCCTCTCTTCTACCACGGGGTGGGACACCAGGATCCCCGCAGAACACAGCTGGGAAGACGAAGGGAGAAAGGCAGGTCTAAGTTGCTTTCTGGAACCCAGTCTTCCAGTCCCACACCCCCACCTTTGTTCTTTGCACTGTTCCCATCCTGGTTGAGCTTGAACTCTGGGAACCAGGGCAGCCCAGGTAGCTGCTTCCGCCCGCTGCGGTGCTGCGGCTGATGGGGGCTTCCTCTCCCTTCTGCATTCGAAGTGCCTATTAATAATGATCCAAGTAATGGAGTCACATTACAGGAAGTTTATAACATGAAAGGAAAATAAACGACAATCCCACTCTCCAAAACTTTTTTTCCATTTTCACGCACATTCTTTTCTAGTCTTTGTTCAGTTGTATGTAAACTTGCGCGGAGCGGCAAAGCCAAGCCCAGGTGATTGTAAATCTTGTTTCATTCACTTAGCATTATCTTGTAAACATTTTCTATGTTTATGACATCATCAACACTTATTGGCTACACAATTAGCAACAAGTGGTTGTGCCATAATTATATTTTATCATAACCCTTATATTGGGCATTTTCTGTTATACAGTTATATATAACTCTTCTTTCACATGCATTATTTTCTTTTTTGTTTTTTCTTTTCATGTGTATTACTTTCTTAGGAGAATTCTCTAGGAGTGAACTTATTCTTTCTAAATGGTTGAACATGTTCACAGCTCTTGATGTGTAGTGTCAAATGTCCTTCCCTAAAGGGTACACATTTACAGTGCGGTGGATAGTGTACGGGTATACCCACTTCATTCAGGCCATGTTAACATCAGGGAGTGTCACTAAAAATTGACTACCAAAGGCAAAACTTACCATGATATCACTTCAAGCATTGCTTTATGCTATGATGCAAATGTGTGTGTGTGTGTGTGTGTGTTTGTATGTGTACACAGAGTCATGAGGTACATAATCACATGCAAAATAAAATGAAGCTGGACCGGGGTAGTATACGGGTATACCCATTTCATTCAGGCCATGTTAACATCAGGGAGTGTCACTAAAAATTGACTACCAAAGGCAAAGCTCACCATGATATCACTTCAAGCATCGCTTTATGCTATGATGCAAATGTGTGTGTGTGTGTGTGTGTGTTTGTATGTGTACATAGAGTCATGAGGTACATAACCACATGCAAAATAAAATGAAGCTGGACCTGCGGCCTCTGCCCTGAAAGTTGGGGAGTCTATGCTGACCAATTAGAAGTCAGTTTAAAAATCGACTGATGGGAAGTTACTGTATCCAGAAGGAGGCAACGGAAAGAACCAGAAATACAAACGGCTGACAAGTGAAGAACGACTGGCGTGGCCTGTCTCATAAGCAATGTGATGCCAATTAAAGTAATGAGCTATCTTTTTAAACTCCTCAGGCTGGTAAATATTTAAAAATACTGGCACAATCCATTGTTGATGAGGGTGTATCCAGACACATTCTCATAAACTGCTGTGGGGAATGTAAACTGGGATACTTTCTAGAAGACAGTTTGACAACATATGTCAAGAAGGGAGGCGTGACTGCCCTCGGCCCAGCATTGTCATGCCTAGGGCTTTGCTGCAGGAGTAAAGAAAGGCAATTTTTTTTTTTTTTTTTGAGACAGAGTCTCGCTCTGTTGCCCAGGCTGGAGTGCAGTGGTGCAATCTTGGTTCACTGCAAGCTCCGCCTCCCGGGTTCACACCATTCTCCTGCCTCAGCCTCCTGAGTAGCTGGTACTACAGGCACCCGCCACCACACCTGGCTAATTTTTGTATTTTTAGTACAGACAGGGTTTCACCTTGTTAGCGAGGATGATCTCAATCTCCTGACCTTGTGATTCGCCCACCTCGGCCTCCCAAAGTGATTACAGGCGTGAGCCACTGGGCCCGGCCAAGAAAGGCAATTTTCAGGAATACATATTGCAGAACTGCTTCTAACATAAGTTGGAGATAATCTAAACTTATCACCAGTACGAAAAGATTAAACAACTTGTATCTACAAGGAAATTCTTTAAAGCCATTAAAAATGATGATTCATAGATCAGTAAATACTGACAAAGAAAGGTAGAAAGGTATTGATGAAAAGGTTTTGGCGGCCTATCAATTAATACAAGTTATGAAACAGTACGTACAGCATGAGCCAATACTAGTTCTCGAAAATGTATACATATCACTATCTACGCAAAAATGCACAGTGATTCACGTGGGACAACATCAAAAGCTGAAGTGTGGTTATCATTGGAAAGTGTGAGTTCAGATGACTTTTACTTTCTTTTTTGTATTTTCTAATGGGTAAAATTTTTTTCATGATGACATAATTCATTGTTAAAAGGCACTTCAGCTATTTCTCCAGAGGAAAAGCAAGGATGCTGAGTCCAGACTTGACCCTGGTAGTATGTGAAGGTTGGAGTGGGTAACATTACACCAAACATCTGTGTCCAGTTTTGAGCTGCTGGCTCTAATCTCTGCAGAAATTCCCAGATGGAAGCAAATTTTCAGAGGAACCCAAAACAGTATCATGAGTATGTGGATAGTTTTCTGCAGAATTAGATAAATGGCAATTAGAAAAATAAATCCTACTGTTTGTCCAAAGCACGGGCATGGAGAAAACCTTCCAGAGCCCATTCATGGGGTGTGACAAGAATAAGTGATCCAGAACCTGCTTACTGGGGATCTCAGTAAGGAGTAAGCCCTGGAATAGACTTGGGGCTCCTCAGGATACAACTGGGCCAGGTGGATAAAAAATAAAGCAACTCACCAGAAAAGCACAGGTTTCCCAGAAGTCTTTTCTGTGCAGGCCATTTTTCATGAAAACAGACATGTATCTAGCACTGGGTACCCCCAGATCTTTGAGTACTATTCCATACAGTTAACAACCCTCCAGGTAAAAAACCACCCCCAATAGCTCCAGCTTAATTTCCTTCTGTGACTCTAGACAGTGTCTGACACCAGGGCTCAATTAAGGGATCCTCATTTTCTTCCTTTCCACTTCCTTCCCTCTTTGATAGTGTCTTTGATGAAGTTCCTCCCTGGTTTTGGGGAGGGGACTACCGATTCTGGGCATTCCAGCCACAAAACTCCAAGGAGGCAAGGGGAAGGAGCTATCGAATAGGATGCACCAAAGGGCCTTGTGAGCAACTTACGGAAACACTGAGGTAGCTCTCCGGTCCAGGACCCATTTCCCTCACAGGTGAGCACCGCGGGCAGGGAGAGCTGGTACCCCTCCAGGCAGGCATAAGTCACACTTGAGCCCCACATGAAGTCAGACCCCACCACCTTCCCATTGGGGATGAGCGGAGGCGGCTTGCACATGAGAGCTGGAGGGAGACCAAAGAAGGCTGAGTTCTGATGCTGTCCTGGGAAACCAGCCCACATCACCATCATTGATATCACCGACTACCCTGCACCCGCCTGGAGCCTGGGCTAAGCAGAAAGAACCAGAATGGGGCCCTCTTACTGTGGGAGTTCTGATCTTTTTGTACCTTACAATGCCCTCTCTCAAGTGTGACAACCCAGTCCTCTGTTTGCGGGACCCTCCCCTCAATGTTCATGGCCCAGGCCTTATCTTGGTACTTCTGATTCGCTCCTGGCAGATGTTCAGGGGAGAGTTTTCTCACTTTGAACATTCCCTGATGAGATGTTAGGGTTGGCCTTTCACCCCTCTCCCCTCTAGATAGATGCTCAGGGCCTACATCTCACTTTCGTATCTTTTTGACCCTCTGTCCACATCTGCAGCCCCAGACACACCTTTGCAGACAGGCTTGGTTCCATTCCATGTCCGGTCCTTGGTGCAGTTCAGCACAGATACTCTATGTGACTCCATCATATAGCCAGGGACACACTGATATGTCACAGTTTTGTTGTACCTGAAGTCATTGCCCAGTCGAAGGCCATTGGCTGGAATCCCAGGGTCACCACAGTTTATGACTAGGATAAGAGAGATACAGTATTGTTCACTCCCAGCCAGGACCCCACTTCTCCAATACCATCCCTATCACTCCCTGCACGCATCCAAGAATGGAAACTGTCAGATCAGGGATGCCCTGTCTCCTCACAGGATCCCAGTTGGACATTACCCATTGTAAATTTCTTTTTTTTGAAGTCAGGGTCTCACTCTGTCACCCAGGCTGGAGTGCAGAGGCACAGTCATGGCTCACTGCAGCCTCGAACTCCTGGGCTCATGCAATCCTCCCACCTCAGTCTTCTGAGTAGCTGGGACTACAGGCATGAGCCACCACACCAGCTTGCCCATTTTAAATTTTGTTTGGTCAAATCCCTGGCATTAGCCCTGTTCTTGCCCACACTGTCCTTAGGCACCACTGCAACTTGGGCTATGAAGGTTCACCTTATTCAAAGTGCCCCCTCTAAGAGGAAGTATCCAGAGGGCTCAGTTCCTAAAAGAGGCTGGGGCCCAGGGAAAGGGAGTTTTCTGTTTGAAGAACCTCAGGTATATTAACGAACCACATAAGACAATTGATTTGTCTGCTGAGGGGTACATCTTATCACCTGATGTTGTACCTACGAGGCCTCTGTAGGCCCAACAGCACCTACAGAGGACTCATAGGGACAACAGCCCGGAAGCAGGGTCTTATGGCCCATGAAAGGGTTATGCCTATGTCATCATATAATTGAGGGTGGGGCTTGGAGAGCTCTGGTCTCAAAACCAAAGTGAACTTGACACGGGATTTCAGACGGAGCTGAAATTACAGACTAGGGCTTTGACAGGGAGAATCTTGTCACATTTCCTCATCCCATCTCTTCCCTCCATCTGGATCCCACAGTGACTCACTTTTACTGGAAAAGGTCTGGGACTACCCTTGAGAGAAGCAAGTAATGGGAGCTGTGAGGCCACACTGTGCTCAGGAATCCCTACTGGGTGGGGTTGGGTACAAGGAGAGAACGAAGCAACAAAGATGGCGGATAACTGCATCTTTGAAGTGAAAACAGAATCAGGTTGAGCTATGGGGTTTGATCGTAAGAGAGAAAAGGGAAAGCCCAAGGAATTGGTTAGAGCCTGAGAAATGGCCAATATATATTCTCTGCCTCTGTGAGCATCAGCCATCTCATATACAAAATGGGGATAACAGTAGCTACTTCGTGGAGCTATGGTGAAGATCAAATGACATGTGCATATGAAACAAAGTACTTCGCTCAGTGGCTGCCACACAGCATATGCTCAACAGAGGCTATTCATATGATTCTCGTTCAGGCTCAAGTCCCACCATCCCAACCATCCTGCACCATCTTCCATAGATAGCCTTCTTCTCTGGCATGCAGGATCTGGGCCACTGTTGGCCATGGAGCCCGTAGGGCCTGGGCTCTCACCGAGACACTCAGGGTCACTGCCTGTCCAGGTACCATTGACTGAGCAGTGACGGCTGAGCAGGCCTGTGGCGTAGTATCCTTCCCGACACTCATAGACGATAGAGCTGGAGAAAACCAGGCCATCACTGAACACGACTCGGGCATTACTTGGAGTCCCAGGGTTCCCACAAGAGATCACTAGGAAGACAAAAATACACGTTATTCACCAGAACAATAGTGGTCATCATCTGGGGGGACTAAGAACTGCCCAGTGGAAGCCACATGCTACCTCGGGACCCCGTGGATAGAAATGCCTCTCATGCTGCTTTTGTATCGAATTATCTCACCGCTAGACAGGAAGGAGAGACCCCTATGCATCTTTCGAATTTCCTCAACAAATTCCAGTTTTTTAAAGAAAAAAGATGATCTATTCTATTATCGTCCTTAAAATTTTGAACACAATTGCTTAATATTACCAAATATCCAATCAACGCTTGATTTTCCTCAGTTGTCTTTCTCTTTTTTTAACAGTTGATTTGTTTGAATCAGGATCCAAATAGGGTCCACACATGACATTTGGTTGACACGTCTCTAAGACTTTAAACCCAGAGACGATTATTTCTGCTTCTATAATTTATTTGTTACAGAAACCAGAACATCTGTCCTGTAGAACGTCACACTTTCTGGATTTTGCTAACTGCATCAATGAGATATAGTTTAACATATTCCTCTATCCCCTGTAGTTCCTTCCTGCAATCAACTTCCACCTTTTGGCAATGGTATTCATAGGTGGTTTTGGGCCTTTCCTACTGCGTTGGATCAGGAAGCACAGAATGTCTGGGTGTTTTCTTGTTCATGATGTTGAGGCTCATCAATGATTTCGGGCATGTCTGCCTAATGTGGCATTATGAGGTTTCCATTAGTTTTTCACTTAATAGTTTTAGCAGTCTTTGACCAGATTCATTATTTCATTAGGGATTGGAAAGTGGTGATATTCTATCATTCTTTCTGCATTAGCTAGAGTTCTTTAAGAAAGAAATTTTCTATCTTCAATTATTTGCTTATCCTGAAATACCGTTCAAATAGGAAGGCAAGATAATGCTTGATTTTTTGTGTGTGGTTTTTATTTTAAATCAAATGTCAGAATAATGAGTTGGTTTCCTAGCAAACTCCAAAGGTGACCAATGTGTTTATTTAAGAATCATTTTGAACTCATGGATCTAAAGATATTTTTTATGTTCCCATCCATTGCCATTATTATTCTTATTGATGCTCAGATTCTCCATCTTTAGCCAATAGGAGCCTCTTCCAGTTGGCTCCCGAGTCCTGTTAACACGACCTCAGTTATCTTTGGTGGAATCCTTGCTGGATTGACAAGATGTTCCATATTTGTCTTGTATATTTCCTGCACCAGCCTGGAAATTAGTCATTTCTCCAAAGAGACTAGTTTCTTTTAATGGAGAACGGACCACAATCCAGGCAGTAAGATTACTCATGGCCACTGACCTGGTCATTGATTCTAGACTTTTAGAGTTAGAGCTGGGAAAATAACTTCTTAAATTGAAAATACACTGGGATCATGTGGAGGTAGACAGTGGAAAAACAGATAATAGAGACTGGGAAGGGTGAGTCAAGGGAGGGGGAGGATGAAGAGAAGTGGGTTAAAGGGCATGGAAATGCAGTTAGAAAGAAGAAATAAGTTCAGTGCTTGATATCAGAGTAGGGAGACTGTAGTAAAAAATGTATTGTACTTGGGTGATGGATACTCTAAACGCCCTGACTTGACCACTGTGCATTATATGTATATATATAACAAAATTTCACATGTACCCCATATATTTGAACACATAAAACATAATTAAAAAGAGAAAATGTATTATGAGTTTATACTGTTATTATCCATCCAAATTTAGGATTCAGGTTTTTTTCCTTAACTTTTAAATTTTTATATTTTCTTTCTTTTATTCTGAAAATCTTCTTAATGACAATAAATTACTTATAACTTGTGTTTGTTTTATCCATATATATTATGGTATTGCATATACAATAGTTTCAGGATAGTAATATCAATATTATTGTTAACAATATGATTGCCGAAAACAATTTAAGATTCCTTTGTAGTTCTCTTTGTCCGCAGTCAAATTTCATTTTTCAAGTCAGTTGAAATAATTATTGGGGTTATTAAGTCATAAACTTGATACATAGTTAGCTTCATTTGTTTCCATAAGGATTCTAATATTTAGAGATTGCATGTTTCTAATCTTTGATTTAATTTTCTAAATATGTACAACATTTATGTGGTCCCAAAATAAAATCTACAAAATGATTCCTATACAATTAGCACAACAAATAGGCCTTGGCATTCATTCATTCAACAAACATTCGTGCTGCCTAGGTGCCCAGAATACAACAATGACCAGGCTATGTCCCCTGCCCTTGAGGAGCTTATTCTATTCTAAGAAACCTACCTATCAACAGATGAATTAAGGTATGACATATTAAGTGTTATAGTTGAAAAGAAAAAGCACTAAGAAGGAAGCAGCTTATTGGGGCTGGAGATAGGAGTTTGAGTAGAACCTTTAAGGACAGGTAGGAGTTTGTCAAGAGCAGTCATCGGAGCTGTGTGCATACGTGTATTCTCTCTCTCTTTCATTTAACAAACTTTCACTTCTGGGTCCAAACTCATAACCATCCACTTTCTGTCCCTGAACATTCAGGTAACTGACATGGTAACTGATTCCACGCTGGGATCTCAGTGGTATGGATGTGGATGTGGGTCACATTCATATGCGAGAATATACTAAATTCTCCCTTGCATTACACTCTCCCAATGCCACAAACCTTTCTTGCTATGCCTGCAAAATTCTATAGAAACTAACTTTGCAAATAGCACTCCCAGAAAAGGCAGGATTTTGGGGAGACAAGTGGGAGAGGGCTCCGACTCCATTGTTTCATTTCCTAGGCAGGAGTCCCCTGGTGATGATGGGTTAGAGAAAACCTGTCCAACCTGCAACCCACAGGCTGCATGTGGCCCAGGGCGGCTTTGAATACAGCCCAACACAAATTCATATACTTTCTTAAAACATTATGAGACCTTCTTGTGATTTTTTTTCAGCTCATCAGCTATTGTTGGTGTTAGTGTATTTTATGTGTAGCCCTACATAATTCTTCTTCCAGTGGGGCCCAGGGAACCAAAAGATTGGATTCCCCAGGGCTAGCGATCTCCCCTTGCTCTGCAGGACTACTCCACAATCTCAGTTTCCAGCAGCCTGCTCTCTAACCACTGCCTCTTGTCCCCTCAGCTCCCTCCCTCTGGAATTCATTTTCTGGTGATTATTTGGTCCTATGGCAACCTATAATCCATTGATCCTACCACTTTCTCACTGCCTTTTACTCCACTCATACATCTGCTCCCTCCTTACCCAGCTTAAATGCCAAGATCCATCATAATCTCTGCCTCACATTCACCCTCTTTTCCCTTGCCGCTTCTGCCAATGTCTTAGTTGCTTGGCAAATCTCCAGCTCTGTACCCAATGCACTATCTGCTCTGTGCCCACAACTAGGTAACAAAATGAGCTTGAACAAAAACACGGTCCCATGCTGACTGCTCTCACTTTAAATTAATGATCCTCCACCTTAAGTGAGCGCTCAGTGCCGCCTGGCCATTACACACTTCCCAATTCCATTCCACTCGTATCTTGCTAGATGATTATTTCATATCATCTCCTTCCTCTTCCAGATCTTCTCACTCAACCTTACTCTCAGCTGTTAAACCTGCTTCCTGCCTAGGAGAGTACTATGCAGGCTGTATTTTAGAAAGAGACAGACAGAGAGATTTGGGGACCAGCTGCAAGAGGAGAGAGAGATTTAAAAATATATATATATATTTTTTCCCCAGAAACTTGGGACTTTATGGAAAAATGATAATTTATCCCACTGGCACTACCTCAGGCAACATCACTGAGGGCCTAGATTACTTTGAGAGTTTTCTAAAATTAGATTTGTATATCTTTTGGCACACTGAATATTTGTTTCATGTAGCCTCTTCCCTTAGACTGTAAGCCCCAGGAGAGCAAGATATGTGTCTCCGTCTGTTCAGACTTGGACACGGTGCCTTCTTGCTGTGTCCTCACATGGCCCAAGGGAAAGGGAGCTTTCTAAGGTATTTTCTTTCTCAATAAGATAACTAATCCCATTCCATGACCTAACAACTTCCCAAGACCCCACCTGCTAATACTATCACTGGGTGACCAGGTTTCAACATATGATTTTGGGAGGTCACAAACATCCAGACCATGGCAATGTCCGTCTTGGTCACCATTGTGTCCCCAGCACATTCCACAGCACTTGGCATATAGCTGCTGAATGAAACTATATGGGAAATGAAGAAAATAGTGAGTCAAATTCAGTCTTTTTTTTTTTTATTTCTTCCCTTTTGAGGTGAGAGTGGGAATATGTTTGTCTTTTGATTACTAATGAATATGCACATGAATTTTCTGTTGCAGTCCCTATTAGCTAGGCTGAGGGTTCAAATGGGGCCATGGTTTCCTCTGTGAGGGCAGGTGCCTGGGAATAAGAGCAGGAGCAGGGGCGAGCTTTGGGACTGGGCAAAGGGGAGAAGCAGAATGGTCACATACATTACCTCCACACTCAGGCTGCGAGCCGCTCCACGAGCCGTTGGCTTGACAGGTGCGCTCTGATGATCCCCGGAGCACGTGGCCAGCTTCACAGCTGAAGCGCATCACACTGCCTGGATCAAAGCTGTCCCCCAAACGGATGCCATGAGCCGGGATCCCAGGGTCACCGCAAACTCCCATGCTAGTTCCTATGGACCAGAACCACACAAACCCCATTGTTTTTCAGGGAAGCAAAGGGAGTAGAGGAGCAGGTGAGAAAGATACTGGGATGTGACTAAGAGGAAGCAGTGGGTCCCATGAATGAGGCCTAGCACAAGTTACCTGCACATGCTCCTGTCTCCCTGTGCAATGATGGAAGAACACAAAGATCTGAGGCCATGGGTAAGTCCCCGGGAACCACACAGGGAGGGGAAGCAAGAAGGCAGAGGAAAAGCTCTGTGGCCCCTGCCAGTCTGGAATTTCAGTGATCCAAACTGGCCACAGGTCCTCCTTCTCCCCTTCCCCTCTTCCCTACAAACACCGGCTGATTCTGTAGTCCCATCTCCTCTCCCGTGCCATTGCCTTAGCTTAGACATTCAACATTCTTTTGCCTGAACTTTTGCAAGAGCCTCCCAACTAATGTCCCCTCCTTGTAAACTCTCCCTCGAATCCATCTTCTACTTTTTCCTCTAATCTTAACAATCACTAACCAGCTGACTTTTTTTTTTTTTTTTTTTTCAAAAAATTTTTCCTGCAGAAACATCTCTACTGGCTCCCCAATGCCCACAGGATAAAGTCCAAACTCCTTAGCATAGCTTCATTTCTCAACTGCCTAGCTTGAATCTTGATCTTGGGCCTTTATTTTTATTTATTTATTACTTTTTTAAAAGTTTCATTTTATCTTTAATTGACAAATAATCATTGTACATATTTATGGGGTATGAAGTGATGTTTTGATGCATGTATTGTAGCTGTAGGAGAGAATTTTAAATGTTCTCACCACAAAGAAATGATAAATATTCAAGGTGATCGATGCTGGGCCTTTCATTGAGGAGTTGCTACTCACAAACTATGCAATACAGGTGAGCTCTAGAATAAACATCTCAGACCCTCTTATTTCATTTTTGCTCCACCCCCTTCCTCTTGCTACATTCCTGCATTTCTCTGGCTTCTGGTGTTGTGCAAACCCACTCAAGAGACCTCTAAGGACCCAAGGGGTGAAGAAGGGTAGACAACAGGAGACAAAGCCACAAGATCTATGGTCCCCTGCAGGACCAACACATTTCATGATACAGAAATGTGTAGGAGATGTCCTTAGACCAGACCAGGCCATGGTAAACATGAGGAAAGAGGAGAAAAGTTACAGAATAAACGACAACTGCATGAAAAGATAAAGTTACAACTGTCATGGAATCTATCTCCTCATGTAACCATGTGTGGTCATCAAATGGTAACATCTGAGTGACCATATCTAGTTTGCTGGAGCCAATAAATGTTTAAGTCATGTGTATCTCACCACTCTTGCCATTTATGTCTCTTCCACTTCTCAGCCTTGGGATTATTCCCTTTCCTAGTCTAGACTCAGATTGTTAAGACACTACATAACCACATGTTCTCCATTCTGCTTCCCACCATGGAAGGGGGATTCATTTTCAACCTTCAATGTAAACATTAATAAAAGAGAGGTCATCACATTTGGCTAGGTTTTCTTATCTTTTGAAGGTTTCCAGGATGTAATTCATGCAACAGGCAGAACTGGGTCTCCCTGGAAACAATCTTGATGGTGAGCAGCTCTGACCCACACACTGGCTAGCTGACCTCAGCTGGAGCCAGCACTATTGTAAAATAGGCACAAGATGGTTAACTGGTTTGGCTGTGTGTCCCCACTCAAACCACATGTTGAATTGTAATCCCCAAGTTGGGGAAGAGACCTGGTGAAAGGTGATTGGATCATGGGGTGGATTTCCCCCTTGCTGTTCTCACAATAGTGAGTGAGTTCTCATGAGATCTGGTTGTTTGAAACTGTGTCACACTTTGCTCTCTCTCTCTCCTGTCAGCCATGTGAAGATGTGCCTGCTTCCCCTTCTGCCATGATTGAAAGTTTCCTGAGATCTTCCCAGAAGCAGAAGCCTGTACAGCCTGCAGAACCATGAGCTGATTAAACCTCTTTTGTTTATAAATTACCCAGTCTCAGGTATGTCTTTTGGTAGTATGAGAACAGACTAATACAATGGTGTTCAGTCCTAGGGGGTTTTTCTGAAAGAATGGCCCCCACTACAGTATTGGAGGCTTCTAGTTCAGTGGTAGAAGGGAGTCTGGACAGGATATTGCACCACGGGGGCAGAGCAGATAGATGGCAACTATTTGCCAAAGAGGTAAAGAGAATGACAGTGTAGATGTAGGTGGGGAACTTCCTGAAGTAGATCTCAAACTCCAGAAATCTCTCCATAGCCTTGGTGGCCCAGTGGTGTATGACTCAAGGACTTAGGAGGTTTTGTTGTGCAACAGTTGGGTCCACTGCTTGCACACAATGAGACTAAAAACTCTGACCTGGAATTCATGAATGTGTATTTCATAGGACTGGCAGGACATGCCACTGCAAAAGATGACGTCTGTTTCAGGAAGGGAGGAACTATCACTAGATCTGTGGTATATACCTAATGTTACTTCCTAATCGCCTATTCTTCTCATCCCTTATGTTCTCATCCAAGGGATTTAAGGTTCACTCATTGTCCAGCCTTCGTGTAGATTGAATCCCTTCTAATTCTGTTTTCAGAGAGCTCCAGGAGGCTGGAGAGGCAATGTACATGACCCTTGTCCTCTCATGTTGTATTGCCTATCACTTCCACCAGTTGTCCAAACAGATATAAGCCAGGGCGCAGTTAACAGGCCTTCCTCTAGCCCAGCTAAATGAGTCATCATGGCTCCTACATAGTCCTGCCCAGTTCCTTAATTAGGTGATTAATGAGATTAATAGGGGTGAGAGGCCAAAGTCCTGGGTGGTCATATAGAGTGATGTGTCTGGGATTTCCTGGGCAACCAACAGCCCTTTGATATAGTGGCTTTGGGACTCTCTTCTTTCTGGAGATATCTAATGAATATATTGTTAAATATTCTGGCAGTGACCTAACTTTTGGGAGGCAGGCTCATCTGGGAATGTCAAACTTCAAGAACAGTGGCACATCTTATGGGTAAGGTCCCACATCAAGAAGGCTTGATCCTAGGAGGAGGTCATGATCCTTTCCTCTGAAGGGATCTGGCATGGGAAGGGCTAGGGGTTAATTTCAATGCCAAGGTGGGCCCTCTGAGGAACATCAAGCTTCACAAGAAGCTGCCCTCTTGCGGGCAACATGGAATCCCTTCCTAGGGCCAGGCAGGCTTCCCTCAAAGAAGACAAAGCTGCCAGGTGCTAATATTTTAGCTTTGTGGTTTCTGCTATTAGCAGGACAATTCACTTGCAAAATTTTGTTCTGTTATATGACATTACACATTCATTTCTGGTTTGCATACTATGGCTATAGGACCTTTGGCAGTTCTCTACATTTGCTATTTTTATAGCATCTGTCAGTGTCCTCATTAGCAGTAAAATGAACTTAACAGGAAAAGTCTGGGGACTGGTGTTTCAAGGCAGTAGGGAAGAAGACTGCATCCCACTAGGTAGCCAGGACATAGGACAAGTTGAGGGGCAGTGATAAGAAAGGGAAGGAAGCTGGGGCCTATGAGTCTGAAACAGAGAAGTAAAGAGCACAGGAGTGGGCTTGGACCTGAGTTGATCAGAAAGACTTGAACTGTCCCCAGGAACTCATAAAACCAAGTATCTGGACAGGATTCTGGCCACAGGTTGACCTAAAAAGTTATGCCCTTCCTAGTTTTGCAATCCCTGGGCATGGTCAGAGCTGACTGAGGGGATAAAGCTAGACTCAGCCCACCAGAGGATAAAGCTCCACTGGGACTTTGTCTCGCTGTGCTCTCTACTTGTGAGGGAAGATACAAGGGTTCCGAGGTCTGATTCCCTCACATCCATCAATCACTCTCACACCTTGGGGGCTCGTCCACCTCCATTCCACTGGAGCCCTTTCCTCAATGCCATGCACCATACCTGAGCAGTGAGGGAGGGAGCCAGTCCAGTGTCCATCCAGCCCACACATGCGGGTGCTATTTCCCACCAGAGTTCGCTTGCCAGTGCAGCTGTACCGCACCACTGCTCCCACAGTATAGCTGTCTCCGGACATCTGGGAGTGAGGTGGGGAGCCCGGATGGCCACAGGACACCACTGTGGGGGAAGAGCAAACATCTCAGTGACTCTCCACAGGGATGGATCACCATCACACAATCCATGCCAGGCTTCCTGAAGCAGGAGGCAGGGAAGAAGAGAAACCCAAGGGTATCTGTTGAAGCAAACTTCCTGCTGACATACCCACCTGGCATTGGCAGACAATGCCCATCCACTTCAGTGGACAGTTTCCATATCTATGAAATGAGGAATAATACCTGTTTAGCATGTAGCAGATACACAATAACATTAGATTTTTTTTCCCTTCTTGTCTCTTGTGCTTACTTCTCCCTATTTCCTCATACTCAAGATGTCTCTGGGCAGGAAGGTGGTACACATAGTATACACAAGACAAAAATGGGAGCTCTGTCACCCTTGGATTGTCTTCATTGGCCCCAGATTCCAGAAGAGGAGCCAATTATAGTCCTTTTCCAGCTACATCATACAATTGCCTCATCAGTTGTCCCCGACCTGTGCCCTACAGTATGCAAGTTCCCTTTACTAAAGTACTGAAGTATAACTGTGAAAACAAGTGACAAGATTAGAACACCAGAGTTGAGATGTCTAGGCGAGGGCAGGGCAATGCTTTCAACATCACTGGGGTTGGCTTTCCCATTGATTTTGTCACAAGTTGATCCTAAGATTCTCCCATTTACTCAACACACATTTATTGAGTGCCTGTCATGTGCTAGGCACTCCGCATGTTTGTGAGAACAAAGTGTGTGCTTATATTCTCATGGGGAAGAGAGATTACAAGTAAGAAAATGAGTAGGTAATTCCGGGGGTGCTATCAATAAAAGTAAAGCTGTGTCAGGAAAAGGGTGTTCTGGGATGAGATGAAGGTGCTGCTTTTGAACAGGGTCATCAGGGAAGATCAAGTGACTTTGAGAAGTGACTTGAATGATGTGAAGAAGCCAGCTATACAAAATCTCGGAGAAGAGTATTGTGGGAGATGAAATATCAGGTATAAAGGGCCAGAGGCCAGAGTGAGTTTGCTGTGTTTGAGAGAGCAAGGAAGCCAGGGATGCTGGACTGGAATGAGCCAGGACAGAATGGAAGAAGATAAGGGTGGAGAGGTCACTATGAGCCAGATCATGGCATGAAATTTGGATTTTATTATGAGCATCTTGGGAAGCCACTGGAGTTATATGATCTGATTTACATTTTAACAAGATTATACTGGCTACTGTGTAGAGAAAGGACCAGGTGGTACAAGAAAGAGGGAGCTATTGCAGTAGTTCAAGGAGAGATAATAATGACTTGGACTAAATCTTGGAGTCTGGTAGGAGATCCCTGTAGACATGGTACCCAGAAAGGACACAGGGCATAGCATGGAGGCAGACCACAACAGGTGACCAAGTGGTAAAACCTGGGTTTTGCCAGTGCTGACCCTGATGATGAATTTTGGTTGGTACTGGGATGGTAAGAATAGGTATTTCACTTCTCAGTGTGGTCTTGATATGGGTCAAACATTGTTCTAAATGCTTATGGTAGATTATCTGCAGACTGCTGCTACTAACAATTCCTCCCATCAAGGAGTAGAGCCTGTTTCCCCTTTCCCCTCCCCTTGAATCAGGCTGGCTTTGTGACTTGCTTTGAATAACAAAACATGGTGGAAGTGATGTTGCGCCAAGTTACATCCTAAGAGGCTTGGCAGCTTCTACCTTCATTGTTTGGAGTACTATGCCACCATGTAAGGAAGTCTGGCAGAGACTTCCAAATGACAAGAACTCAAATGAGGGGAGAGACCATGTGGAGAACAATCACAATGCCCCAGCTGACAGCCAGCACCATGATGTGAGTGAGGCCATCTCGGATCTTCTAGGCCCACCTGAGCCACAACAGCCAATAACATGTGGAGCAGAGATGAGCTGTCTCCACTATATCCTGCCAGAATTGCCAATCATAAGCAAGAAAATGGCTGTTGCATTAAGTCACTACGATTTGTTACATAGTAAACACATAAAAAGATGCTTAACACTATTTGTCATTAGAGAATTGCAAATGTAAACTACAATGAGATAGCACTTCACATCCACTAGGATGGTTATAATAAAAATGATGAACAATAACAAGCATAGGAAAGAATATGGAGAAATTGTAATCCTCACACACTGCTGGTAGAAATGGAAAATGGTGCAACCACTTTAGAAAACAGTTAGGCAGTTCCTCAAAAAGTTAAACATAGAGTTCCTACATGACTTGGCAATTTCCCTCCGAGGTATATGCCCAAGAGAATTGACAACACGTGTTCACACAAAAACTTATACACAAATGTTCAAAGCAGCATAATTCATAATAGCTAAAAAATGGAAACATAATAGTCCCAAAGTGGAAATGTTCATAATAGTCCCAGCTCATCTATCAATTGTTGAATGGATACACAAGATATGGTATATTCATATCATGAAACAGTATTTGGCCAAAAGGAATAAAGTATTGATGTATGCTAAAACATGGGTGAACTTTGAAAATTTTACGTTAAGTGGAAGTAGCCAGACACAAAAGACACACATATAATTCCATTTATATGAAATGTCCAGAATAGGTAAATCCATAGAGACAGAAAAGTACGTTAGAGGTTGCCAGGAGCTGGGGTGGGGATGGGCAATAGGGAGTGACTTTTAAGGGCTGCTTGGGAATGATGAAAGTGTTCTAGAATTAGACAGTGATGATGCTTGTACAACCTTGTGAATACACTAAAATCACTGAATTGTACACATGAAAAGAATGAATTTATGGTGTGTGAATTATATTTCACTAAGGAAAAGAAAGAAAAAATGCAAATGGATTAAATCTTCCACCTGAAAGAAAAGATTGTCAGATAGGATTTAAAAATCACAATTATCTGCTTTTTACATGGAGAGCAGTTAAAAAATAAAATGATTAAAAAATCACGCCAATACTAAAAGAAGGAAGCCGGTTATAAGTTACAGGTACACCTAGTTTTTTTTTTTTTTTTTTTGAGATGGAGTCTCGCTCTGTCTCCCAGGCTGGAGTGCAATGGCGCGGTCTCCGCTCACTGCAAGCTCCGTTGCCTCCTCGGTTCACACCATTCTCCTGCCTCAGCCACCCGAGAAGCTGGGACTACAGGCGCCCGCCACCACGCCTGGCTAATTTTTTGTATTTTTAGTAGAGATGGGGTTTCACTGTGTTCGCCAGGATGGTCTCGATCTCCTGACCCCGTGATCCACCTGCCTCGGCCTCCCAAAGTGCTGGGATTACAGGTGTGAGCCACCGCGCCCGGCCAGGTACACCTAGTTTTACTGTGCCTTGCTTTAGTGTGCTTTACAGATGTTGTGTTTTTTACAAACGAAAGGTTTTTGGTAAGCCTGTGTTGAGCAAGCCTAACAGCACCATTTTTCCAATAATACATGCTCACTTCGTGTCTCTGCGTCACCTTTTGGTAATTCTCACCATATTTCAAAGGTTTTCATTATTGTTACATCTGTTATGGTGATCTGTGATCAGTGATCTTTGATGTCACTATTGCAATTGTTTTGGGGCGCCATGAACTATGCACACATAAAAAGGAGAACTTCATCGATAAATATTGTGTGTGTTCTGACTGCTGCACTGACTGGCCATTCCTTGTCTATCTCCCTCTCCTTGAGTGCCCCTATTCCCTGAGACCCATCAATATCAGAATTAGGCCAATTAATAGCCCTAGATGTCCTATAAGTGTTCAAATGAAATGAAGAGTTGCGTCTCTCACTTTAAATCAAAAGCTAGGAATGATTAAAAGCTTAGTAAGGAAGGCATGTCGAAAGCCGAGACAGCCCTAAAGCTAAGCCTCTTGAGCCAAACCATTAGCCAAATTGTGAATGCAAAGGAAAAGTTCCTGAAGGAAATTAGAAGGGCTGCTCCTGTGAATACATGAATAAGAAAATGAAACAGCCTTATTGCTGATATGGAGAAAGTTTGAGTAAGTCTTTATTGTAGGGGGCTGTCCTGTGCATTGTAGGATGTTTAGCGTTGTCCTTGGCTTCCACCTACCATAGAAGGTAGGTAGATCTGGACAGCAGATCAAATCAGCCACAACATTCCCTTAAGCCAAAGCCTAATCCAGAGCAAGGCCCTAACCCTCTTCAATTTTATGAAGGCTGAGAGAGTTGAGGAAGCTGCAGAAGAAAAGTGCAAAGCAAGCAGAGGTTGGCTTATGAGGTTTAAGGAAAGAGGCCATTTCTATAACATAAAAGTGCAAGGTGAAGCAGCAAGTGCTGATGTGGAAGCTTTGGCAAGTTACACAGAAGATCTAGCTAAGCTAATTGATGAAGGTGGTTACACTAAACAACAGATTTTAAAGGTAGAAAAAACAGCCTTTTTTTTTTTTTTTTTTTTTTTAGACAGAGTCTTGCTCTGTCACCAGGCTGGAGTGCAGTGGCACCATCTCGGCTCACTGCAACCTCCTCTGCCTCCTGGGTTCAAGCAATTCCCCTGCCTCAGCCTCCCAAGTAGCTGGGACTACAGGTGTACACCACCACGCCTGGCTAATTTTTTTGTATTTTAGTAGAGACAGGGTTTCACCATGTTGGCCAGGGTGGTCTGAATCTCCTGATCTCATGATCTACCCGCCTCAGCCTCCCAAAGTGCTGGGATTACAAGCATGAGCCACTGACAGCCTTCTGTTTGAAGAATATGCCATCTAGGACTTTCATAGCTAGAGAGAAGTCAATGCCTGGCTTCAAAGTTTCAAAAGGCTGGATGACTCTCTTGTTAGGGATGACTGCGACTGGTGATTTTAAATGGAAGCCAATGCTTATTTACCATTCTGAAAATCCTAGGGCCCTTAAGAATTATTCTAAATCTACTCTGTTTGTGCTCTATAAATGGAACAACAAAGCCTGGATGACAGCACATCTGTTTATAGCATGGTTTACTGAACATTTTAAGCCCTCTGTTGAGACCTACTGCTCAGAAAAAAGAGATTCCTTTCAAAATGATACTGTTCATTGACAATGCACCTGGTCACCCAAGAGCTCTGATGGAGAGCTCCTGTACATCAGAACTGGAGATGTACAGGAATTGAATGTTGTTTTCATGCCTGCTAACACAACATCCATTCTGCAGCCCATGGATAAAGAAATAATTCTGACTTTCAAGTCTTATTATGTAAGAAACACATTTCATAAGGCTATAACTTCCATGGATAGTATATTCCTCTGATGGATCTAGACCAAGTATATTGAAAACTTTCTGGAAAGGATTAACCATTCTAGATGCCATTAAGAAGATTTGTGATTCATGGGAGGAGGTCCAAATATCAATATTAACAGGAGTTTGGAAAAAGCTGATTCCAACCCTCACACATGACTTGCAGGGGTTCAAGACTTCAGTGGAGGAGGTCACTGCAGATGTGGTAAAAGTAGCATGAGAACTAGAATTAGAAGTGGAGCCTGAAGGTGTGACTGAATTACTGAAATCTCATGATCAAACTCAAACAGATGAGAAGCTGCTTCTTGCGGATGAGCAAAGAAAGTGGTTTCCTAAGAAGAATCAGAAAACTATTTTTGGTGAAAATGCCGTGAACATTGTTGAAACAACAACAAAGGATTTAGAACTTCACATGAAGTTAGTTGATAAAGCGGCAGCAGGATTTGAGAAGACTGACTGCAATTTTGAAAGGCGTTATACTGTGTAGATAAAATGCTATCAAACAGCAGCATATGCTACAGAGAAACCTTTCATGAAAGGAAGAGTCAGTCCATGTGGCAGACCTCACTGTTGTCTTATTTCAAGAAATTGCCACAGCCACACCAGTCTTCACCATCCCGATCAGTCTGCAGTCATCAACATTGAGGCAAAGTCCTCCACCAACAAAGAGTATGACTTGCTGAGGGCTCAGATGATTGTTAGTACTTTTTAGCAATAAAGTATTTTTCATTAAGGTATGCATATATTTTTGACATGATGCTATTGCACACTTAGACTATACTGGAAAACTAAAAAATTTGTGTGACTCATTTTATTGCGATATTTGCTTTATTGCAGTGGTCTGGGACTGAACCTGCAATATCTCCAATGTATGCCTGTATATTAATATATATACCTATTAGTTATATCAACAGCAACATTAAAAGGAGTTTGGAGTAAGCTGATTCCAACTCTCATGCATGACTTTGATGGGTTCAAGACTTCAATGGAGGAGCTCACTCCTCCCCTGAAGCAGCATCAAGAGAACTAGAATTGAAGCAGCATCAAGAGAACTAGAATTAGAGCAGCAAGAGCAACAGAGTTAGAAGAGGAGCCTGAATATGTGACTGAATTAACTTCAGAAAAAACAAGCATTGGGACAAAAAGTTAATATGGATATGGTCACTTTATTATGAAAAAAGCTGCATTTTACCAGAAGAAAAAACAATTTGAGCCCACTAGGCGCTCTTAATCTCAGCTGGCACCACTGTACATGGATGGTGTCCATTTCTGACCCCAAACAATTTGCTGGTCATAAATGGGATTGGATGGCCAGGCCAGAGTTCTCAAGCAAGGAAACTACAAGCAGTGAGCAGCTATACCAGGCTCCTGTTAGACCTATAGGCATGAGGGCATAAAAAATGCAGTCGCCCAGACTGGAGGGCCTACAAAATGTATATAATCTGCCAAAGGTAGGTGGACTGCTGAATGGCCTTAATTGCATATCCATTACTCCCTCTTGAGTGCATCTTCACCTCTCTGCTTCTTGGAAGATGGGGGAGAGAGAAATCTGTGTGGATTCACCTTTAGGAACCAGAGGGGAGAGCAGGAAACCAAGGGGTTGTCTTCTCACAAGGACGTGTAAGGCCAGGGACCAGATGTCAGGTGATATGGTTTGGCTGTGTCCCCACCCAAAGCACATCTTGAATTGTAGTTCCCATAATCTCCTCGTGTTGTGGGAGAGACCCGGTGGGAGGTAATTGAATCATGGGGGCAGTTACTTTCATGCTGTTCTCATTATAGTGAGTGAGTTCTCACAAGATCTGATGGTTTTATAAGGGGCTTTTCCCCAACTTTGCCCATTCTTTTCTCTCCTACCACCATGTGAAAAAGGACATGTTTGCTTCTCCTTCCACCATGATTGTAAGTTTCCTGGGGCCTCCCCAGCCTGTGGAACTGTGAGTCAATTAAACCTCTTTCCCTTATAAATTACCTAGTCTTGGGCAGTTCTTTATAGCAGCAGGAGAACAGACTAATACATCAGGATTCTGAGCACCTCCCTAACCCCTTTTAAAAAACATGTCCTCATATCTTTTCCTAACAATAATTAATGTGGTCATTGTTTATTGAGTAGCTACTACGTACCAGACACTATCCTGGCATTTTTCATAGATTTTTTTCTTTAATCCTCTAATAACCCTATGGAATAGGTACTGGCATCATTTTTATAGATGAAGAAACTGAGGTTCTGAGAGGTTAGTGAACTTTTCCCCAAACCATACTACTTGTTCAGTAGCAAAGCCAGAATTCCAGTCCAAGTTGGTCTGCCTCCAGAGTCTGGGGCCTTTCTGCTTTAGTCCTTTAAAGGGAAGTGGGGTTCATGTGCTGTCTTTCTGTAAGGGCAAGGAAGGGGTAAAGCTGGGAGATGGTGTCCCACTAGGCAGCCAGTTCTGAGAAAAGGGAACTCTGTAAGCTGAAGAGGGTGGTAACTCTAGAGAGGAAAGGGACCAGGCCTCTAGCTAGGAAAGTGAGAATACAAAAATTGGTATGGCAAGTCACCCAACAGGGGCTCAAGAAGGAATCTGAAATCCCAGGAGTAGCCAGAGTGACTGTCACCGTAAGGCAACACATACATGTGCACGCACACACACACACACACACGCACATGCACAGAGGGGAGGACTGTTCTTTGACATGGGCCACCCCATCAGTCATTTTGAGCAGGTGACATATACTTACAGAGACACTGGGGGCGGGGACGGTCCCATGTGCCATCTCCCTGGCAGCTGAGCACTGGGGTGCCCAGGACGTAGAAGCCGTGGTTGCACTGGTAAGACACAGTGGTGCTGAAGCTGAACCTGTGTGGGCCGCTGGCGTGGACCTGACGAACACTGTTTTCTTGGTGTCCAGGATCTGTACAGTTGATGACTGCAATTGAACAGAAGTCCAAACAGGCATGGATTCCCAGTATAGCAAAATATTTAGAGCAAAACTAGGCAATGAAGCAGACCCTTTCTGAAGGGTGAGCTGGTCCTGAGGCTGCTGGACTTCTCCCCTCAGCTTGGTTACCTGGTCAGAAGAGTCATCCTTCCATGTCCAGCTAGACATCACCCCCTTAGAGAACCCTTCCCACCTCTTCCCAGATTGATTACTCCCTTTCTGGTACTCCCTTGCACGAATCGCTATTGCTGACTTTACCAGCCTCTGCTGTGACTTGTTTGAACACATGAGTCCCTTGAGGGCATGAATGTCTAGTCTCCACGTGTCTGATCCTAGCACAATGTGCCTCCCACTGCAAAGCTTGTCAATTGTAAAACTGATGCATTTGAACTGACTTGAACAGGGTTGGGCTCTTTTGAAAATGGTTTTAATCACTTTTATGAGTATTTCAGGGACACATTAATATCCTGGGGGATATATTTGACTTTAAAATCTTAAAAGTGTTTCCAAAGCAGTTTAACTCAAAATCAGGATAAGATTTTAGAATAATGACAATATTATTCATAACCCATGACTATATTTTTCTTTCCAAACATCTTCAAATCCATTATCTTACCTGAGTCTCAAACTCATCATATGAGGTGGGCAGGAAGGTATTTTTAAAAAATCTTTGATAAGCCTTTAAGGATTTTTACTTTTGATGAACCTCTCTGAGGCTTCACTGCTGTCAAAAGCCTCTAAAAATGTTAGAAGCTATTTCCTAAATACTCCAAATGGAGCCAGGACACTCTCTATTCTGTCTGCTTTTTGAGTCTTTGGCTTCCTCTCTGTGTATTTTCCCCCAGCCCTCACCCCCTTTATCTCAACTCTTAGGCTCTCTGATTTAACCCTCTGCTTTTTCATCAAGAATGGGGATCTCTTAAGTGTGGTTCCAACGGAGCCACAGCAGCCATTTTGCAACCACAAGGAAAGACCAAGATATTGCTCCCGATCTCATGGAGCAGCATAGAAATAATAGTACGTCTAGATTTCCTGTTTATGTGAGAAAAATAAACCTCTGTTAAAAAATAATGTGGCTTTATATGATAATGATACATCATTTGTTCAATGAAATGTACAGAAGAAGACCTGAAAGATAAAACGAAGTTTTGCTTTCCTTGTATAACCCATGACGATGAAATTTTATGTGGCTCTATCTAAGGGTTGAGAAAGTCCTCATTTATGACCCTTGTCTACTCCATCTTCCCTATCTGGGTCAGCATGATGCCAGAATGAATTCACTGGCTTCTTTTTCTCAGCTACAGAACCACATATGGCAGAGATGGTGGGGAGTGGAGTGGGAGAGAAAGGGTGACTCACTTCTGCAGGTGGGCAGCATGTCACTCCATTGCCCGCTGGCCAGGCATTGGGACCGAGCAGCCCCTTCAGCCATATACCCAGGGTTGCAAACAAACTTGACCACATCATTGAGGTTAAACTGGTTGCCCTGAGTGAGGCCGTTGACAGGGTTGCCTGGGTGTCCACAGGTAATTGCTGCAACCAAAACAGAAGATAGGTAAGCCCTCCTACTATTCCACACCCCTCAAAATTTATCCACCTCTCACCTGGCATCTCTTACGCACATCAGTGAAGTTCAGCCCTAAGTCTAACTTCACTCTCTTTTGCTGTAAAACCTTTATAAACTGAAATTGTCAGGGGAACATTCTGTCCTCCTTGAAGATACGTCTGTAGCTTGGACAACCTGAGATCAATCATTCTATGACTTCCCATAGGGTGTTAGGCCTAGACTGTGGTTCTCTGTGGTCTGAGTGGTCAGTGCTATCTTATTTTCCTTGCCTCTGATGCCCTCGGCCCCCCAGATCCATTGTTAATTGCTGAGTATACTGATGGCTAACCATCAGCTGATTTAGGTCCATCCTCATTCCTGAGGCAACCTTGTAGAACCAGAGTGAATGCTAACCAAGCCTGGTGTAGAGTTCAGTCACCCTGTTAGACCAACGGCCCAGGTAAACTGGGGAAACAGAGCTGCTGTTTGGAGAGAACCCACTACCTCCCATTCCTTCCATGGGAAGGGAGTTCAGTCAGTGCACTTTGATCTGTGCAACTTGGGAAGAATGAGCTGGTATGTTTGACTCAGCATCCCTTCTTCTTCTAGGGACCTAGTTATCTGCAGGGAGCAATGTTCTCGGCTGCTCTCAGCTGTTGAGGAGGCAGGTTATCCCCAACATTGCAGGGCTGCACGCCCACTGCAGTGTTACCTCTGTGGGTGGATGAATCCATCTCATTCTGGGTTCATATAGCAGCCTCCATATGACTCTCGCATTAAGCTCCATTTTCCAACTTAGCCTTTATTAGTGAGCAAGGTAATATCTGGGCCTCCACCTACCACTCTGTTTTGTTTAACATTTTGCTCAGACATGAGCAGGGAAGAGAAGAGGGATGTGGTATTCGCAGGTCACCACGTTTATCCCCGTATCCCTCAGATTCCCCCTTCCTCCCAGTGGTACAGTTCACTCCACTCGGCTGCACTGGCCTCTTGGAGGTTTCATGAATATACAAAGCAAGTTCCTGCCCCAGGGCCTTTGCACTTGCTTTCTTCTCTGCCTAGGACATTGTTCCTGCAGATATCCCTTAACTCCTGCCCTCCTCTTCTCAGGTCTCTCCTCAAATTAACCATGTCAGTGAGGCCTTCCCTTAGTCCCCAGTGGGCCAGCATGGCCAGTACTTCCAGGTCCCTTGCTCTGCTCAACCTCTCTCCATAGCACTGTCACCAACCAACGCACCATAGCACTTCTGTATTCGTTTATCGCTTATCACCCTTCAGCTGAACGCAAACTCCTTGAGGTCAGGGACTTTGTTTTGCTTATTCCTACACCCTTGGTGTATGTACCAGTGCCTGACATTCAGCAGGAGCGTGATAAATATCTGCTGAGTGATTCAGCAAATGAGTAAGTGCATGGATTGATGGATGCCTGGGTTTCTGCTTTGATCCTTAGCCCTTAGATCCATTTTGTCCCTGCCTGGCACCCTGGTCTCATGGGGTTGAACTCCCGTCTGATGCTTTTGCTAGGCCTCTTGCTTTGTTCTGGGTTTTAATTTGTGGGAAGATGAGGAACCATAAGGGATATTCTCTTTGCCCAATACTTAAATCCATGAGGATCCCACCTAAGACCCAAATGGTGATAACTGGTGATGGGGGTGTAAGATGAGGAAGCACCCAGTCTTTGCTGTGGCCAGATCTGGTGTTTTCTGGGCTAGTTCTCTTTTGTAAATCTCAGTAGTAGCAACCCTGACTCCAGTGGAGGGAGCCAGGAAGAGCAGGGGACATGCTGTTAGTGGACCACAGGGGTTCAAAGCAGCCTCGCATGGTGAGTTGAGAATGAGCTATGAAGGCCAGCAGACCAGGATTTCCAGCTCAGCTCTGCCCCTTCCTGACTTTGGGTCTAAGGATAATTCACTTTGAGGCTTGGTTTCTATAGCGGCAAAGTAAGAATTTTGATATGCATTTCACAGGGGTGCTTTGAAAATAGATTCAATTCACATAATTATTTGTAATCAAATGTCTGCTGAGTGCCTTTTATGAGCTAGGTAGTCTCCTATGGAGTGGAATATACAAAGAAGAACATGAAATGTTCTCTGACCTTAGGAAGCTCATTTCACAGACTGGCAGGTGGGCAGGCAGGGAAGCGGCTGTTAAACCCAGTGGGCTGGTGCTGAGATACAGCCCAGTGTAGAGGAGTGTCTTTTACCCTCCTTTGGGGAGAGAGTGGGTCAAAGAGGGTCCCACAGGGAGTGGCATGAGGTCTGATCTGGGTCTCAAGGGTGAGTAGAGCTTTGCCAGGTCAAGAAGGTTGTGGGAGAGCAGAGATAAGCATTGCAGCATCTGTGAAACCCTGAAATTATATGCAAGGCACTGGGTGTTTGCAGCCAACTCGGGAGAGGGTCCATTACTTTCACCAGATTTGGAAAAGGTCGTGATGCCCCTTCCCTGAAGGTAGAAATAACTCACATAAAGAGAGAGAAGAGCACTGAGGATTAAACCCTTTGGGAATACCACTTTTTGAAGGGCAGATGTTAAAGAAAAAACCTATAGGAAACCGAGGAGTGATCAAAAAAGTAGTAAAGCAAAAAGCTCTACAGGAGGCAGCAGTGTCATAGAGCCAAGAGCCTCAAGAATTGTCAGATATCCCTGATAGATCAAATAAGATAAAGATGAAAAAGTGTCCATCGGATTCATCAATAGGACCATTGGTGACTTGCAAGTGTCCTCTGCCTGGTTCAGGCTCTTACCCACTGCTTCCCACATATTCCCAAGCCATAGGCCCTGGACCAAGATAAGCAGGAGAAGAAGCTGCTGCCACCAGGTGTCATCTCTGGTGCCCCTGTATAAGTTCTTCATGTTCTCTTTAGGTCTCAGGCTTTCTGGCTGCTTGAAAGTTTTGGCTGGCACTTCTCAGATTCTTGCTCTGCAGCTCTTGGGTAGCAGAGGCTCTGAGCATTCTAGAACATGGCATAGGACCAGAGGTCCTGTTGACTGGGATGGAATTTCTTTCTGGATAGAACAGAGAAGTGGTCTTTGCTGCTAATGAGAGGGGAGAGGTGGAGGCAATCAGTGTAGGCAACTCTCTCAAGCAGCATGGCCATGTGATGGTTAATTTCATGTGTCAGCTCGGTTAGGCTGTGATACCTAGACATATGGCCAAATGTTAGTTCACATTATTCTAGATGTTTCTGTGAAGGTATGTTTTAGAGGAGATAACATTTCAATTAGGAGGCTTTGAGTGAAATAGATTATGAGGACCTCCATAATGTGGGTGGGCCTCATCCAAGCAGTTGAAGGACTCAAGAGAAAAGGCAGCCTGCCATCCCCGGAAGAAGAGGGAATTCGGTTAGCAGCCTGCCTTCAGACTTGAACTGTGATTCTTTCCTGGGTCTCCAGCCTGCCAGCCTATGCTGGTGATTTTGGATTTTCCAGCCTCCACAACTGTGTGAGTTAGTTCCTTAAAATAAATCGCACTCTCTCTCTAGACACACCTCCTATTGGTTTTGTTTCTCTGGAGGACCCTGAACTAATACAGGCTGCCATGGGCAGAAGAATAAGGCATCATTAGGAGGAAAGTAGAGGTCTTGATGAGGCTCGAGCACTTAATAGGCTTTTGAGCACATTTCGGGACAATTCAACTTAGTTTCTTAAGGGCAGAGATGATGTATGACACATTCAATTCATATTAATCCTTAACACCTAACACAGGGTCTGGCATGTAGTAGATGCTAAGAAAATCTTTATTGAATATGATCTTAGAAGCTGAGGGAAACAGAAAGGGAAGGTCCATGGTAACACAGAAGAGGATTAAGAATAGATTAAGCTTGGCTGGGCGCAGTGGCTCACGCCTGTAATCCCAGCACTTTGGGAGGCTGAGGCAGACAGATCATGAGGTCAGGAGATCGAGACTATCCTGGCTAACACGGTGAAACCCCGTCTCTACTAAAAATACAAAAAATTAGCCGGGCGTGGTAGTGGGCACCTGTAGTTCCAGCTACTCAGGAGGCTGAGACAGGAAAATGGCGTGAACCCAGGATGCGGTGGTTGCAGTGAGCCGAGATCACACCACTGCACTCCAGCCTGGGGCGACAGAGCAAGACTCCATCTCAAAAAAAAAAAAAAAAAAAAAAAAGGAATAGACTAAGTTCTCTAAGGAGGGCAGGAGGGAAGCAGATCCAGAGACTGGTGGAAGGATTAACTGTGGGCTGGGAGAGAGATTCTTCTACTGAGGTGGGAGAGAAGGGGCAAGGATGGATGTACACACACAGTAGATGTGTGGGTGGGGAAGCTGAATGTAGGAGAATCTATTTTCTGATGGCTTCTATCATCTCTGCAGAATAGAAAGTGATATTAGATGATTAGCTAACAATTGTTGGGGCTTGCAGTCACTGTCTCACTTAATCCTCACAACCCTATGAGGTAGGCACCACCATTATACCCACAGAAAACAGAATTTCAGAGGACTCAAGAGATTTGTTCAAGGGTCACAGTTTCTAAATGACTCATCTGAGTTTTGAACCCAGCTTCTCTGGTTCCAGGCTATCTTAACTATTTAACTTAGTTATTTGCTGAGAATGTAGGTAGCGGGGATGGAATATAAGTCTTCAGAAAGGAGGCAGAATTGTGAAACAGCTGTGTGGAAAAGGACAAGGGAGCTGACTGAGGAAATGAAGAGAACAGCTGGAAAGTTTTGAGGTCTGGTTGACATTGGAAACCTTGACTTTATAGGTACTGGCAGCTAACACAGTGCCTAGCGCAGAATAAACACTTACAAATATTTGTTCTTTTATTCTTGCTTTCCTCCGCCAGATAATTCCCAAACCTCTGTGCTCCAAGAGAGAATGGGGCTTAGTGCAAGAGATCCTGGATTTTGTGACGTGATGGTGGCAGCATTACTACCACCACTATCATCATCATCATCATCACACAACAGCAGCAGCAGCAGCAACTGCTGCTTAACATCTGGATCAGGCACTGGTCTAACCATCTTATGTGTACTAATTTATTTAATGCTCCCAGTAGTCTTTGAGGTGCCTGCTTTGTACAGGTGACAAGACTGAGACCTAGTGAGGTACACCGACCCACCTAGCGTTACATAGCCACAGGAGAGCCGGTGGTAGAGATGAGATGTAAACCCAGGCAATCTGGGTCCACACCTGAGTGCCTAACTACTTCACTCACTGCCTTTGAATATGGTCCAATCTAACATTCAATGTCTTTAGGCCAGGCAGACATTCTCCATCCAGACCCCAACAGTCTATTATTTATTACCTAAATCTCTCTGTATACATTGTGCACCAATTTGCTGAGGGCATCTGCATGTTCTTCTTCTGGGTGAAACTAAATATGTTTTATTTAGACACATCTGAAAGAGTGACTGAATATAGATGAATTATAGATGAATCTTTATTTTTTATTTTATTTATTTATTTATTTTTGAGATGGAGTCTTGCTCTGTCGCCCAGGCTGGAGTGCAGTGGCGCTATCTCGGCTCACTGCAAGCTCCGCCTCCTGGGTTCATGCCATTCTGCTGCCTCAGCCTCCCAAGTAGCTGGGACTACAGGTGTCTACCACCACACCCAGCTAATTTTTCTGTATTTTTTTTTTTTTTTAATAGAGACGGGGTTTCACCGTGTTAGCCAGGATGGTCTCAATCTCTTACCTTATGATCTGCCCACCTTGGTCTCCCAAAGTACTGGGATTACAGGTGTAAGCCACCGCGCCCGGCCTATTTTTTATTATTTTTGAGATGGGGTCTCATTATGTTGCCCAGGCTTGTTTCAAATTCCCGGGCTCAATTGATCCTCCAACCTCAGCCTCCTGAATAGCTGGGACCACAAGCACAAGCTACCATATCCGGCTTGGGTCTTGCTTTCTGTAAACCTTAAGAAGTTATTAAGACTAATTTCATGCACTGTTTTTTGAGAAGTTCTCATTATTTTATGGCCCTATCCCATATATAAAAAGCCAAAACAAGAAAAATTAAAATTAAAAACCTGCCTTACAAAAATTAAGAAGGAAAACTTGCGCTTTACATAAGGGCTCACTTTAGGGAAATTCAAAAAGTGAAGAATTTTCCAAATTACTTCCAGGGAGCTGAGCATAACAATGGTTGCCTAAATAAAAAAAATGCAGATTAACCAGAAGAACAAATAATAGAAAACCCAGGCCTGCAGCCTAACTAGAAGCCAGAGAGTGCTACAAACTTTAAATTATGTGTAAGTAGAGAAATACACACTAAGCCCAGGCAGAGTTACTTCTCATGGTTCTGCTGCAAGCTTTTGTGGAGAGCAAGACTGGATGAGAAAGAGAAGAGAGGAGCAGGTGAAGGGCTTAACGCTGATCTAAAATCACCTCCAGAAGGAGAAAATCCATCTCATGTATGAATATATAGAAAACAAATCTTTGTATGTCAATGTATAACCACAGAAAAGGGACATAAAAGTGTGTGTGATTCTCCCCCATTGCTTCTGGAAGAAAAGAAAGTGACATCCTCTGAGTGATAAAGGGAATAAGAAGCAATGATGGGAAAACCTGGGGTTCTGCAAGACAAAAGAAAAACACTCAAACAAAAATGAAGGACACACAACCTCTTCCTTACCACACACAAAGCCTTATATTAAAACAAACAAACAAACAAAAGGCAAATATCCAAGAGAATCAAAACGAGATAAAGAAGTAAAAATGATCAGAGAGAAAGACTTTGTAACACTGACAGAAGAGGGTACTACTAAACCACATTAAAGCCATAAAATGAATAGAAAACATCAACCTAAATGTATAGGAAGCTACTTTAAGAAACAAATAGGAAAGAATTCAAGCATTTCATCTGATGAAAACCTCCTCACCAAAAACAAAACATGTGAAGCATAAGAAAACTGTAGCAGCATTCTAAACTGAACTAAATATTCTCAAATAAGCATCTGGAGATAGTTTAAAAAACACCATGAAAATCAGAAAATCAAAAACTAACAAGCACAAATGGACAAAAGGTGGAAGAAAATAAAAGATAACTGATGGTATGCTTTAAAGAGATCAAAGAAAAAGACAAAACCATCTGGGAAATGAAGACTAAATTATAAGAGGTCCAAGAAAGAATATTCTCAAATGATAATTAGAGTTACTGAAGAAAGTCAGGCAAAAACCAAGGGAATTAAAATGAGATAAAGAGGTAAAAATAATGAGAGAGAGGCTGAGAGAGAAGATAGGCAAAGAATATTTAACATATACATAATCAGAGCTGATGAAGAAGAAAGAAAAACAGTGGGAAACAAAGTAATACCAGTGTTTAAAACCATAATCCAAGAAAAGTCTTTGGAAATAAAGAAAGACCTGCATCTATACATTCAAAGACCCACAGAATACCTAGGGAAATTGTCTTGGAATAATTAACTCTGAAGCATGTCCTAGTAAAAATATTAGACTTTAGGATGTAGGGAAAAATAATCAGGAACCTCAAAAAATCACCAAATAACCTACAAGAAAAGTAGAATTAAACTAATATTATAATTCCAAAAGTCAAATACGTAGAAACAGAGAGTAGAATGGTGGTTACCAGGGGTGGAGAAGTGGGGGAAATGGGAAATGGCAAAATTAAGACCAAACATGTCAGTCATATTAATATATGTGAATGAGTTTAACTAACCAACTAAAAGAAAAAGATGGTTAAGTTAGCTCATAAGGCAATTTATGCTGCATACAAGAATCACACCTAAGAGAATCAGAAGGCTAAAATAAATGGTCAAAGGTGTATCAGGCAAAAGAATTAAAGCAGGGGTTGTAAGCCTAATATCAAGCAAAGTACAATTCAAGCTAAAAATATTAAAAGTGACAAAAAAGTCATCTTTAAAGGCTAAAAACCACAATGTGCAATGGAGATACTAGTTATGAGTATCTATGCACCAAATAACACAGCAACCATCTTTATAGGACAGAAACTACAGGAAGTGCAAGGAAAAATAGAAACACACTAATAATAGAAAACTTTAAGCACATCTTTCAGAATAACACAGATTGAGTGGGTGAAAAGTAAGAATGTAGAGGACATAGACAACATAATCAATCAGATATATCTCATGAATATATAAATAAAACATGACATCTTAATATCCTTTCTTCTCAAGTGCACATGGGACACTCATAACAATTGACCAACTATTAGGTTAGTAAGCTTTCACAAAGAAAGCTTCAGTAAATTCTGTGAAGTAGAAATATTATATACAATGCAATAAAATTAGAAATGAATAACATAATGAAAACAAAAATGGCCTTCCACCTAGAAACAAATCCTTCTATTAAAAATTTTCTATGTAAAAGGAGAAATCAATATCAAAATTACAGAATTTCTAATAAATAATAAACATTTATTATTAGACTGTATAGGATACAATTAAAGCAGTGATGAGAGAAAATATCATAGTCTTAAGCACTTATAGCAATAAAACTCAATAGAAATGAAAGAATGAAACTAAATGAATTAAATTTCCACTCAAAAGCTAGAAAATGAACAAAAATGTAAAACCAAAAGAAATCACAAGGAAGGAAATAATAAAGGTGAAAACAGTGATTAATCACGCAGAGAATGGAAAACATTAGATCAACAATGATTTCAGTTTTGAAAAAAAAAATTAGCAATTTTATATATATATATAAACCCTCTAGCTAATCTAATTAAGAGAGAGGGAGAAAGTCCATGTTGAATCTGAGCCCCGTGACTAGGGAGAGTGGATGACATACTTACGCACACAGAAAGGGGTCTTGCCCGACCAGTGATGATCCTGCTGGCAGATGCGCACAGACATGCCGATCAGGCGGAAGCCAGCATTGCACTGGTACACCACACTGCCCCGGTAGCTGTAGTTCTCCCCATTGATGTGTCCGTTGACGATGGGCTCAGGAGTCCCACAGTGTCCAGCTTTGATGAGGGATGGGGAAGAGGGTACATCAAAGAGGAGCTTATAGAAAATGGAGTGGAGCTTGGTCTGGGTGGCGAGAGACAGGGAGGGTGGGGAAAAGGACCAACTATCCCATAACTCATCACTTTTCCCACCTCTCCCTGAGAGTAGCAATCTAGGGGTAACTTCAGGAACCCTCGACATGACAAAAATAGTGTTGAGGACTTGACATCCCAAATCCCAAGGTTGTATCCCAAATGGCCACTCACTTCTGAGCTTCAGTTTCTGTGCAAAATGATCACTGTTACCTCCCTGCCCCCAGGATCATCCCCCTCTTTTTCTTACTAACCAGATACAAAAAAGCCTTCTGTAAAAAACAAACAACCCCCCTCCAAAAACCCAAACTCAAGAGCATCTTTTTTTTTTTTTTTTTCCTTTTTGAGACAGGGTCTTACTCTGTCTCCTAGGCTAGAGTGCAGTGGCTCGATCTTGGCTCACTGCAACCTCCACCTTCTAGGTTCAAGGGATTCTCCTGCCTTAGCCTCCCAAGTAGCTGGGACTACAGGCATGCATCACCACAGCTAGCAGTTTTTGTATTTTTAGTAGAAATGGGGTTCCACCATGATGGCCAGGATGGTCTCAAACTCCTGGCCTCAAGTGATCTACCCGCCTCGGCCTTCCAAAGTGCTGGGATTAAAGGCATGAGCCACTACACCCAGCCTGGGCATCTTGTTTTTCACTGAGCGTCTGCTGCATGGAGGGCACCATTGTCTACATTAAGGCAATCAAAACCCGGCTGTGTTGAAACAACTATGTAAAACCAGATGGTTTGGCTAAATTCATCTTTCTTTCCTTCTCCTTGAGTAGCACCTAGATGAGTTCTTTTTATTATATGGGATTTGGGTAGAGTATATTCCTGGCATTTCCGCCAGCTTCCTTTGGCTCTCTGTGGAAATGACCTGTGACTGTGTCCTTAATGGGCCTGGGACAGGGGCAAGACCGCACTGTTCACCCCAGGACAGACCATCCAATCTATCCTATTAGGTTTATGTGGCTGGGGCCCTCTGTTAGACTCTAGGGGTCCAAGAAAGGCGTGAGAGGAGACAGAACCATAGAACCATGGGTGGATTAGCCATGGAGGAAATGATAACTTAGTCCTTTGGAAACCAGGTTGTTTTATGTTTCTGTCATTTGCTTAGTATATATGTATAGATCTATATGTTGTGTGTAAAATTTGCTAATAGATAATATAAAAGGTATTTTAGGTGTGTTACAGGAATATGTCTACAAGTTTTCAAAAAATGGAGACTGAGGCTTCACTCATTATTCGAAGGCCAATAGGAAGGAATTGCCTTTCTAACCAGAATGAAAACCCCTCAAAGGCTTGTCTCTTTAGATCTGAAGTTCTTCTCATTCTTTTGGGTGGCCGGGGATAAGCTATTCCAGGGTTTTAGTCATGCCTAATGCCCAATAGTTGGTGTTTGCATTAAGCATTTTATGTTAGTAGGTGAAATAATACTGTTCAAAGACTGGATCCCAGCTTTGGAAAGATCTAATCTATCTCGTGGAGAAAAACTGGGCAGGATAGGCCTGGAGAGGCCACTCACCAAGGCAGCGGACTTCAGAGCCACTCCAGAGCCCATTGGCCATGCACTCACGCACCCTGGAGCCCACCAGCGTATATCCGGAATTGCAGGAGAAGATGGCTGTTGCCCCGTAGACAGACAGTGTTCCGATGCGGTGGCCATTGGGGGGAACTGGGAGCTCTCCACAGGAGATGACTAAAAGGATCATAAGATGCTCAGTAAGCCAGCCCCAAGAGGAGGGACATGGCTGCTTCTGCTTAGCAAGAACTGTGACAAAAAATAAGACCTGTTCAACCTTACTCTGCTGGAATTTCTGGCCAGAATATGGGTTGTGATGCTGACTTGTGTGATGTGGCACCTCAACTGGAGGTGTCTCCAGAAGCCCCCTAAGGCTGTTTAAAATGCCTGGTTCCACTGCAGGTGCCTGACTCACCAGCTTTGGACACAGGGCCCTGGCCTGTGTATTTTTTTAATCCTCCTCAGGTGGCTGAGATTAGGTTAGGAAGAGATGGCGATTCTGTGGTATGCTCCTTACTGCCCTGGGCAGACATTGCTAACCAATTTCCTTGCCCTTCTTTTCTGAGCCCAGCAGCAGCCTCACACTCTTTGTCAACAGAGCACTGCTGAGAGCCTCTGGCTGAGGTATGAGGTGAGGCCTAATTGCCAAGGCTGCACTGAAATGTGAGTGGCTGCATTGTAGTGAGGCTGTCAAACGTTTGGGACTACTCTGCCACACATGTGGTTACATCCCACTGTGCGGTCAGCACCACAGCGTGTAAAGACAACAGTGTCTTGAATCACAGACATTGGCTTTTTTTTTTTTTTTTTTGAGATGGAGTCTTGTACTGTAGTCCAGGCAGTGGCACAGTCTCGGCTCCCTGCAACATCTGCCTCCTAGGTTCAAACAATTCTTTTGCCTCAGCCTCCCAAGTAGCTGGGATTACAAGTGGGCACCACCATGCTGGCTAATTTGTTTTTTTTTTTTTTTTTTAAGTAGAGACAGGGTTTCACCATGCCAGTCAGGCTGGTCTCAAACTCCTGACCTCAAGTGATCCACCCCTTCAGCCTCTCAAATACTGGGATCTATGTCCAACCTGGATCACAGGCATTGGAAGATACCATTCCTCCTCCCTCCCAGTTTCAAACTCCCACTTCTCACTGACCACTTCCTTCTACCTCTTTACAATCACTTGCTTCCTCTATGACATCTGCATTGGTCACATAAATATTATGAGCATGTCCCTGTTGTAGTGCATGCTGTGGTGAGCCACTCAGAGCCCCTTTTAGGACTGAGGGACTTATTTCCCCAGCTGCTGGAAAACAACCCTTGGCTGGCAGCCCATTTCAGACTGCTGTGGTTGAAGAGTCCACCCACCTAGGAAGGTCATGTCCCTTTCCTAGGCCAGCTTGCATCCAGTGGCTGGTCAGTGTGGCAGTATAACAGTTCCCTTGCTCCAACTTGTGACAATTCTGAGGGGTCATCCCAGCTGCAGAGCTCCCTGGGGGGTGAGCTGAGGCTTTCACGAATACTGCATCAGAGCTCAATTCTCCTTCTGCCCAGTCCTGCTTCCTTCCCTCCTTTCCTTTCCCTTCTGTAGGTGGTGTTCTCAAGAGCACCCCCTAATAAGCCTGTCTCAGAGTGTCTTCCCATAGATTCTGACCTTTGAAACTGTATTAAAGAACCGAAGAAAAACAACTGACAATGGAGAAGGCAGGCAGGTTTAGGTGACCAGTCTCCTGTGTTACCCTCATTCCTCCTATATACACTCCCATTTGAGGTCTTATCACACCACATTATCATTGCTTCTTTATCTGTCTGCCTCTCCGGTAGAGTATAAAGTCCATGTGGGCAGAAACCAAAACCTTTTATCTTCATACCTCTACAGTGTCTGGCATATAGTAAGAGCCTAATGAATATTAAAGAAATGAATTAGTGGATGCTCATCTGGAGAAAGGCAGCTTTTGATAAGATGAGAAAATGCTAAGAAATACTTCCATAAAGGAGTAAAGGAGTAGGCATTTTCCCAGCTCCTGATTCTACTAGATGAGAATCTAAAAAGCAGTACACTGCAATCCCTGGTGATACCCCCTTTTCCCCCACCCCAGTTCACCCCATGCATGAGACAGCTTAGGTAGGAGGGACTCTGTCAAACTTGCCCACCCTCCCTTCCTGGGCTTACTTTGGCAGGTGGGCGTAGAGTCCCCGAGACTCCATTTGCCATTGGCCTGACAGCGGATGACCCTTTGGCCAGTATAGTAGTAGCCAGGGTCACAGATGAGCATCAGCTGGGCCTGGAACTGATACTGTGTCTCAAAGATAAGCCTCCATCGGCCGTGCTCCACGCTGATGCTACTGACATCAGGACAGGTCACAGCTGGGGGAAATGAGGAACAAAGAGGAGGATTAATTACTTGATTAATTGTGGAAGACCTTGCAAGACCCCAGATCTAGGGACTTGGAGACCTTAATGCAATAATGAAGAATCCAGGAATCTTCAGTTCTCAGGCAGGTTTGGTAAATGAACAGAGTGGGTTGAGTGGGGGATGTGGCTAACTGGGAAGTACAGTTCTGCCAAAAAATTAAAAATTAAAAAACGGAAACCGTACTCAGTCACGGTTGATTACTGAATGTTTGAGTTACATTTGGTTAGATTTTCATTTTTCAAGAGAAGACAGAAATCTGGATTTTAATGAAAATTTATTGATTTTAAAAGATCGTGGAGTAATTCAAAATCTGTTATAAAGCACTGTGTAGGCCAAAAAACCAAACAAAACAAAAACCTCTGTCTTTGGACCAGACGTAGCTGAGGAGGTTACCATTTTGTGATCTGGCCTAAAAGTTGTTGTTTTAGAGCTTTGGAATCAAGGGACATTCATGCAAACTTTCTGACAGGTTTTCCATCTAAAAGGGAGTGGACCAGGCCATTCCTAAGTTCCATGGTGGTTTGTGGAAACATCTTAGGGCACAATGGTCATCAATGCTGAGAGCAGTTTCAGCAACTGCCTCCTCTTCTGAAATCCCCCAGCCTCCATGTCCATCTTTTTTTTTTTTTTTCTTTTTCCTCATTATTGTGCTTTTAGCTTGCTCCTTGTAGGAATCTTTCCAGCTGCTCACCTAGCCCTTCCTTACACCCGCCTCCATTGCCCAAGGACTCACGGACACACTGTGGGGGGACATTGTGGTTGCTCCATAGGCCTGTGTCCAGACACTCTGCAGCAGCCTCAGCGCCTGCCTGGAGGTGGTAGCCTTCACTGCAGCTGTACACGGCTTTGGTTCCCACTGTGTACTCCTTGCCAAACACCATTCCATTCTTGGGGGCCTCAGGAAGCCCACAGGAAAGAGCTAGCAAAAGGAAAACAATGTCATGAGCATTTCTGGTTTAAGATGGTATTCTAAGAAACTATTTTTATCCCTCCTCCCCTCTCAAGGCCCCAATAAAACTGTAGTAAAAACTAATAAAAAGGTAAAGTCTCATAATAAAAAAGAAAATGGGAGGATCATCATCAGAGGAGTGGTTTTTGTTGTTGTTGTTGTTGTTTTGTTTGTTTGTTTGGAAGAAGGAATAAAGATAGAAGTGCAAAGAAGCTGTAGCTCAAAATATATGGGAGGGAGCCTCAGGGTGAAACCAGTTCTCCGCCATCTGTTCCCACAAACACGGTGTAGAGACATTCAAGTATTTACTCTCCAAACAAAAGAGAGAATTTTCTTTTCCACTGAAGGGGAACTCTCTTAGAATGAATTAGGGCTGCTATGGTGGGAGTTGGCATCCCCGAGGAAAGCTCTTTTAATTATAGGATTTATGGTCTTTTGGCCTAAAGGCTGCCCTATTGCCTACTCAGGTCTGCCACATACTCAACTCAACTTCTCATTGATAGGAGAGACTTAGTGGACCAAGATATCTGTATATAAAAACAACAAAGGTAATCCACATCTCATATCTGAAAAAATCAACCTGGCCCTTACTTTTAAAATACAATCAAGGATCATATATATGAAAAAAATCAGCAGTGTGAACAAGACAAACCAAGATAAGGTTTAAAATAGATGTCCCCTTAGGAAACAGAGTTAATTCAGGAAACAGAAGATATATAATCTTTAAACTTCTGATCAGTAGTATCCTGATAAAGTCAAGGTGACATGTGGTACTCATAAAATAAAATCAGTGTGCTCTGAAGGAAAAAACAAAACAAAACAAAACAAAACAAAAACAAGTAAAAGTTCTTTGAAATGAAAAATATGATTGCCCAAATAAGCATTAAAGGATTGGAGATTAAAAGTAAATTTCTCAGAATATATTAAAAAAAGAGACCAAAAATGAGATAAAAGGACTGAAAACACAGATCAATCCTCAATATAGAAGGTCCAGCATCCAACTGTTCAGAGCTCCAAAAAGAGATCACAAAAAGTGGAAGGGACAGAATTATCATAGATGAAAATTTCTCAGAGCTGAAGAGAGACACAAGTCTTCAGATGGAAAGGGAGCCAAAGGAATGCAAAAAGAATCACTTGTAGATTCACCATCATGGAATTTTGTGTATCTAAGAAGTCTAGAGACACACAGGCATTCCTCCAAGTTCCTAGAAAGAGGGGAAAAAAAGACATCACTGTGAAAGAATGAGAATCAAACTGGCATAAGACTTCCCATCAACAACACTGAGTGTTCAAAGATAATGGAACAAAGCTTTAAACTTCTGAAGAAAATGATTTGTAAACTAGCATTTTACCTAGTCAACTGACCAAGCATGTGTGAAGGCAAAAAGACAGATACTTTCAGACATGTAAAGTCTCAGAAAGTGTACCCCTCATGAACCCTTTCTTAAGAATTTACTTAAGGATATACCCCATGAAAAAGAGGGTGAAAACCAAGAAAGGACAAGATAGGGGATATAAAAAATGACAGAACTAACTCAAGAATACAAAGAAAAGGAATCTCAAAGGGACAACTCAGGGGAGAAATATCTGCAGCAACATGGCCAGGGTTATTATTTTATAAGGAGTAGGGTCGACATTATGTTTATAGGAGGAATAGGAATTACTTAGGCAAGAGTAGACTGTTTGGTCTTTGAAAGTAAGTAATACTTATAAATCATCCTTGCCCTTTGATAGCTCGGGGGTATTACAGATGGAAAGATTGATCTGCCAAAGTACTCACTATTGCCTCCATCCACTATCCCCTCTGACAACTAGTCTAGAGCTCAGAACTTTTTTGCTCAGAACCAGAATAAGCTTGGGCAGAGTCCCACTGAGATTGCCTAACAAGATGCTTGATGCTATAAGAATTTCCAGAACCAATAAGAGGCATCAGGCTGGGGCTCCATTATGAATGGGGGAGGGTAGACTGTTCAGAAGGAGAGAAGTTGGAATACCAAGATGGAAGAAGGGTCTAGGCGTGGGACTCTCCAGAAGAGGAGGATCAGGAACACAGAAGGAATGAGAAATGAGAGAGTGTTTAAACATGAGACTCTTAATGACTAAACAGAAAGGCTGTGAGCTCCTTCAGTGGAACTAGGTGTCATATCTGATCAACTACCTGCCCAGCTTCCTTGAATCCTTTGGGAAGAAATACTTGGATCTCCACTGGTGTCTTGTATGGAGAGTCAACCCAGGGAGGGCAGTGAAGGAAGTGGGCAGCAGCCACTTCTCACGGGCCCTGGCTTGGCCTTGCTCTTGTAGATAACTAAGGGGACAGAAGATAATACTCCAGCCTGAGATACTAAAAGCCTGTGTCTCATGATCTCCATGCCAAAATGCAGTCCCCCAAACCTGGTGGTAAGAGGGACACTTCCTGTGAGTAGGAGGGGAGGGGATATAATCACAAAGTATTTGAGGCTTGTGGTGGAATGAGATCTCTGAGGGAGAGAGACACGGAGTGAGAGAATGGGCTGGGGAAGGAGAGAGAAGGCATTAGGAGGCATAGAGTCTGTAAAGGAGGAGTGGAAAAAATCATGGGTTGGAAGCAGCAGTAGAGAAGTGGAAGAATGCCAGGCCCTTCCTGGCCCAGAATTCTGTGGGAAGTAGGAGCTAGGTGGAGGCGGATTAACACTCCACTTGAAAGGGCCACAGCATACGTGCTCTCAGAGGACAGCCATGGTCTCCACGGAGGGAGGAAGTGAAGACAGCCAGCTGGGTAGGGACAGAGCATGTATACTTGCTGGCCATGGAACTAGGATTCCAGAGAACGCAGTGGGAGGCTCAGAGGAAGGGCATCAGTGGGACGCACGGGGTGGAGCTGGGAGAAGACATGCACAGTAGTATGGGGATGGGTCAACTGAAGCCTGGGGGGAGGCCTAATTTTGGGTGGTGATGTAAGGTAACAGAAATGAGAGACTTGGTAGGTTCCAACTGACGCTCTGGAAAAAAGACTTGTCCGTGTTAATGCAGTCAGAGATGCAGAGACCAAAGCCAAATGCCATTTGCCATTTGTGGACAGCCAGTTCACTGTGACCTTTGCTTAGGAGTAGATTATTAATAGCACATTGTTTTTGTTATTTGAGGAAACACAGGCACAGGCGAGAAGGCTGTGAGGATTAGAGATGAGAGATGTCATTAAAAAGTACTTCACCACTACTGGGAACCAAAGGAAAAATCAAGTAGCAATGCGATTTCCTGTTTTCATCTATGTAGTTGGCAATGCTTTCTTCTTTTTTTAAATGCAGTGCATAACATTGAGACCATGGGAGAAAAGACAGCTCTTACATGCTGCTATACATGAGGACAAATTTTCTGGGGGGGCAGTCAGTATCGACAGCTGTCAATTGCATACACAATGATGCAACAATCTCATTTCTGGGAATTTGCTTTAAGGAAATATGTAATATTCATAAAGATGGAATTCTAAGTTTATAGTCACAAAGAATATAGAAATCCAAATGACCAACAACAGAATGATACTTAAATGAATGACAGTTTTCTCATAATGCTGTGCAACTATTGAAAATAATGGTGAGGAAGTATAATGTTAACAATAGAGGCCAGGTGCGGTGGCTCATGCCTGTAATCACCACACTCTGGGAGGCCGAGGCGGGTGGATCACCTGAGGTCAGGAGTTTGAGACCAGCCTGATCAATATGGTGAAACCCTGTCTCTACTAAAAATAGAAAAATTAGCCAGGTATGGTGGCGGGTGCTTGTAATCCCAGCTACTTGGGAGGCTGAGAGAGGAGAATTGCTTGAACATGGGAGGCAGAGGTTGCAGTGAGCTGAGACCACGCCACTGGACTCCAGCCTGGGTGACAGAGCGAGATTCCATCTCAAAAAGTAGTATATAGTTAAATATACTTCATCACCATGATTTTCAATGGTTGCGCAGCATTATGGGAAACAAAGTCTGTAAGAGCTTTGTACACGGATGATCCTATTTTTATAATCAATACATAAAAGACAAAAGGAAATGTGCTGAAATGTTAACAGTGGTGATCTCAGGTTTATCACTCATTTTCAGTTTTTTCTTTTGCATTATCTACCATTTTTTTTCTTCTTCAGATTTTTAGTTTAAATGTATATTACTTAATGGAAAAAACTCATAAATCATAAAAGGTAATGCATGCAAACTGACTGACACATTTCAAGTGTTTGATCAACCCACTTGCTCTATGAGCCCGAGTCCAAGCATCCCCTCTGCTGGGAGCCCTCCCCAGCTGGCCAGGAGAAAGCAGATCCCTTCTCACCTTTGGGCTCCCACAACACTGATTATGCTCCTGACACAACACTTCCTTCCTCTGCCACTTTGCATTGATGTGCTCACATACCTATCTCCCCCATGGATCTCAAAACACTGAGATTGCTGTGCACTACAGATCTTCAGTAAATGCTTGTGGAAAGAATGAAATAATTATCAAAGAGGAAACCCACATTTGGAACTGACTAGTCTTGGGACAAACCCAAGATGTGAGTTGGATCTGAGCTACCTTGTGACCCGCTTTCCACCTGCTTCTCACCTTGACAGAGAGGGATGGCTTCGCTCCACAGGTGGTAGCCCTGGGGGTGCCGGGTACAGATGGCCATGCTGTGTCCCACCAGGCGGTAGCCGGTGTTGCAGCCAAAGTGGATGGAGCCCCCGGGCTGGGTGCTGGTCTGGCCCAGGATGAAGCCATGGAGTGGAGCCCTGGGCAGGCTGCAGTAAGGGGCTGAACAACAAGATGAGGTTCAGGGAACTGGTACCAGCAGGAAGACAGACATGGTCTTTTATGCAGGCCCTTTTCCCTTTCTTCTCCCCCATCCCCTTGTCTTTGCCACTGCCACATCCTCTGCTACTGAGGAAGGTCTGAATGGTGGATATTGAAAAACACCCAGTCAGGTTGGTAAAGCCGAAACAAAATTAAAAAAACAAAACAAAACAAAACAAAAAAACAGCTTCATGAAGTACTGGGTCCCTTTTGTGGTCCAAAGGTAGATCTTGTTGTATGGCTAAGTTCAGGCTCTCAAATCCCTTCAGCTTCCAAACAGACTTAGAAAGTAGAACCCAATGGGGTTGGTTCCAGAAAGCTGCGACTGCAGGGGTGTGGACTTTGACCTTAGTCAGGCCTGGGCTCCAGTCCCATTTCTGGTCTGACCAGTTTCTGTAACGTGGGACAAATCGCTTCGGCTCCAATTTCCTCACCTGTAAATTGGGACTGGTAATACCTACCTCACATGGTCAGTTTAAACTGTAAATATAGACTGTGTACATAAAGCCCCCAGCACAGCATGGGGCACTCACTGTTCAATGCTCAATAAATGGTCATTGTCCTTCTTCATGTTGTGTGGGGGAATGCGCTGAGACGGACCTGTGGCAACCCGGGACACACATTTCCCTACAGTGCTCATTTCCCCTCCACATATGACTTCAACTTGTTTAATTCATTTATTCAACAAATAGATATCAAATATCTATTATCTTCCAGGTGTTGTTCTAAGTGCTTGCAATACAACAATGAAGAAAACAGACCAAAATCCCAGCCTGGGCCGGGTGCAGTGGCTCACACCAGTAATCCTTGGCTTTGTGAGGCCAAGGCCGGTGGATCACTTGAGGCCAGGAGTTCAAGACCAACCTGGCCAAAATGGTGAAACCTCATCCCTAATAACAATACAAAATTGGCCAGGAGTGGTGGTGCATGCCTGTAGTCCCAGCAACTCGGGAGGCTGAGGCAGGAGAATCGCTTGAACCCAGGAGGTGGAGGCTGCAGGGAGGTGAGCTCATGCCACTGTATTCCAGCCCGGGTGACAGAGTGAGACTCTGTCTCAAAAAACAAACAAACAAAAAAGCAAAACAAAAAATCCCAGCCTGAAAGGACTCACATTATAAAGCCTGCCAGGGATCCTCAGGGGGAGTTCTGTGAGGCCAGCAAAGAGGGATGACTGAAGGAGCAGGCAGATAATTCTCTTTGTTTGCCCTAGGAGTCCCTGGTGGGGTCTTCCAGGCAGAGATAGATAAGGCAGGATTTGAGTGTAGGGCCCTTACAGCCTCTTTATTGGTGATCACATCCCTCTACTGGTGAAATTGGTGTTTTAAATAATTGAAATTGGTGTTTTAAATCCAGCCTTCCAAGCTGGATTTGTTTCCCTATTCCTGCTTTGCCCCCTGTGTCCTATGTGTGCCATATCCACATGGTTACCTCCCTCAGGAACAAGAATCTCAGTTGTAAAATATACTTAGTCACAGTGACAGACGCAGGTGCAAATTACACTCGTCTACTCTATCTGAATTATTAAGTACTAATTGTTGCACCATGTAATTAATTCACTTTCTACGTGGCATATGTATTGTAATTACAACTGACTCATTATCCCCAAACATATTAGTCTTTAGAACATCAAGGAAAGGGTAACTCCTTAATAGCGTTCAGTTCCTAATTAGCAACCAGTAGAGTGAAATGCTACCAAACTGCTGTATTTCCTGTTTGAGTGAGCAGTTGCTAGGAACTCAGCCTGAATCACCCCTAAGAGGCACCTTAAAGTGTCTTTTTCAACATGTGGACACTGAGGCCTGAAGTGCCTTGCTTAATAATCTCACAGCTAGTGGGTGAGAGAGCTGGTCACTGACATTGGGGCACTCAGTCATTGCAGCCTCCCAGACCCTCCCTTCCTCTGTGTGCACCAGGGAAAGGAGAGGTTGGATGGACTTTGCAGAGGATGTCGGCTCTGAGACAGTCAAGACCCACCTCCTCCCAGGAGCCCTCAGCTTCCTCTGGTTGGCTCTTCCCTGAAAGCTACACCCAGGGATTCTTTAAGACTGTTCACCCGCTGAATATGGACTGGTCTTGCAAGTAGGAGACCCATGAGAAAAGATGGACTGTGGCAAGTGGGACTTCAGGTACTGAATTTGACATTCCTTCCAACCAAGATTTTTTTTTTTTTTTTTTTTTTTGAGACAGAGTTTCACTGTTGTTGCCGAGGCTGGAGTACAGTAGCATGATCTCGGCTCACTGCAACCTCCACCTCCCACGTTCAAGCGATTCTCCTGCCTCAGCCTCCCAAGTAGCTGAAATTACAGTTGCATGCCACCACGCCTGGCTAATTTTTGTATTTTCAGTAGAGACAGGGTTTCACCATGTTGGTTAGGCTGGTCTCAAACTCCTCACCTCAGGTGATACGCCCGTCTTGGCATCCCAAAGTGCTAAGATTACAGGTGTGAGCCACCGCACCTGGCCCCCAACCAATATTCGTTAGAGATTTATCCATCATTTGCCTGGAATGTAGGCCAAAGGTAGCCAGGGGAAAGAGTGCTGAAAGGGAACTGGTGCATGATGGAACCCCCCATGGTCTTAAGTAATTGATTTCTGCCTCCAAGCTTGTAGAGCCCAGTCAGCAGTTCACTGAACCCATCTGCCTTCAAAGTGGGCATCAAGCAGCTTGTGAAGTTTTCTTCTAACCACAGACAGTAATTCCCATGATGTGAGATCAGATAAATTCAAATTTCTCCATCTCATTATATTCCCAGGAATATTTTTTTTTGGTCCTTATAGATTGTTGCCTGGGTCAGTCTTTGGCCTTTTGATCTGACTTTGTTTATAAGATATGGCTTCCTGAGCAGAAGAAAGGCACCTGGCCTTGAAATATAGCCCATCCTTTGCTGCCTGCTTAACATCTGCCCGTCAGAGATCCATGCCTTAGGGCTTTTTAGTTTTAAGACACTTTTATTAGCATTTCCTAACTTTCTTAAAGGGACAGGATCACTGTTAGGTACTATCGGATCATATAAAATAGTTAAACTTATCCTGAAGACACAGTCTGGCTGTATGAGAAGAAAAGAGGGAAGAGGTTCAAAGAGGGGAATGGAATAGAAAAATAGGAGGTAGGGGAATGGCAAAGACCACTTAGCTTCAGGTGAGGCAGATTTAGAGGAGGGGAATGGCTGCCCAGTCTCCACAGAGGAGCTTGCGGCTTCGATGAGGAGAGGGCCTGTGGCTTATTTGTGTGTTTTTTTTTAACTCACCTGAATAGCGAATCTTAAAGCCCTTCCGATTGTAGGCGTGATCAGATGACCAGCGCAGGTACACAGAGTTGCTTGTGCTAGTGACAATCAGGGGAGCTGAGTAATTCCCACTGAGGGCTTTCAGCAGAGGACTCTGTCCTGACGGACCTGGGGTGAGAAGGACGCAGGATTACAGACCATGGGAGTCATCACAGGGAGCCTCCAGGGAAGACCTCAGGGCTCAGAGGGTGGGGTGACTTGTTCAGAGTCAGCAAAATCATTTGTACTTGCACTCCTCTCTCTGCATCCACAGGCATTGCGCAAGGTGCTCTTTTCTCCTGAGCCCAGCTCTAAAGCAGTACTCTAGGAAGTCCCTGCCTACCTATAGGAGCTGGCAGGTAAGATGAAATGGATTTGCATTTTGAGATTTGACCAAGGTCAACTAGCTGGTTAGTGGAAGAGCTGGTTTTCAAATTGGGAACTTCTTCCACTTGGCCACTCTACTTCTCTTGTGTGTATTTAAGCTCACGCCTGTAATCCCAGCACTTTGGGAAGCTGAGGCAGGTGGGCCCAGGAATTTGAGACCAGCTTGGGCAACACAGCTTGCTTTAAAAACATAGCTTGCTCCCCATCTCTACTTTAAAAAAATACAAAAATGATCTGGTCATGGTGGTGCGTACCTGTAGTCCCAGCTACTGGGGAGGCTAAGGCATGAGAATCGTTTGAACCCAGGAGGCGGTGAGCCAAGATCGCACCACTGCACTCCAGCCTGGGTGACAGAGCAAGACTCAGTCTCAAAACAAAAACAAAAACAAAAACAAAAACAAAAACAAAACAAAACAAAAAAGCTCAGTGCTTGCCATATAGAAAAAAATATTTATGGAATGCATACATAGTAATAAAGCTAGAGGAAAATGTCGTATCTCGGGGTCGTAAGTAACAGAGCTCCCTAATACTGCTTTTGAAAGCTCTTTGAGAAAGACCTCCCTCTTCTTTTGTTCTACCTTAAGTGCCTGAGATTGCATCCCAAGGGGGCCGGTTGAAGGGGCACAGAATATAAAGCTGGATAATCCATGACACAGGATTTATCACTCTGGAAAAGGCCCTGAGTGATGGCTCTACGATGCCACTAAGACAGCCCTTAGAAGCTTGGAAAAAGTAATGGATCATATTAAACAAAGTAGAGTCACCAGAACTGCCATGCAAACTGTGAAGGGAAAAGCTCGGAGAAGTGGCATGCTGGGCTAGGTCTGCTGTGTAAAAGCTGACCATAGTTCTCAGGAAGACCTGGCAGACACTCCATTTACGAACGCAATCAGGAGGTGAGGAGCTCCAGCCTTCCTGGAGGGGGTGAGCACCAGCATTGCTGAAAACCTGAGTAACTAATGGCTATCCTCTGTGGGTGAAAACTGATGGGAAGAGACACTGGGCTCCCTAGCAGTAATGGGGATGAGAAGATCCTAGAATACAGAAGCCGGGTGGAATTACTTAACAGTCAGCAGCAATGTTGGCGTAATTACTAAAATGGGAAGCAAGGCTGGAATGGCAGCTGGGAGAGCCTGGCCTACGGGATCTACAAAGATGGCTCATAGAACATGATGTTCCTAAGGGCAAAGTAAATAGGAAGCCAAGAAGAGCAGCCAAAACAAGTATGACTAGATGAACAAAATAGATCGTGAGTAGATCTATGAGCAGGGTGAGAAAAGCTGCCCCCAGCGGAAAGGTGCAATCCCCTGCCCAGTTTGCAGACTTGAGCCAGGTTTCATTTCCCAAGAGGCTGGGTCCCTATGAAAAAAGACCCTGCACAATGACAGTAATTGTATATAGCAGTTGTTCCTACGGTTCTTCCCCCCAAACACCTACTACTGTGTACTCAGAAAACAGAATATTATAGACAAGGGAATGTTCAGATATATCAAAGACTTCTGGATACAGGATGTTAGTTGATGCTGATACCTGGGGGTCCAAAGCATTATCACAGCTACTCTGTCAGAGGAGGGGTATATGAAGGTTGCTTTGAGAATAAATGGAGTCCTGGACCAGGTCCGACTCACAGTACTCACTTAATAAAGTAGGAGCCTCAACTGTAGCAGCTGTGTAGGCGCATATCTTTATTAGAACAGATTAACACAGCCTTGGTTACATAGAATGTAGCTATTGATCTGGCCATGTAGTCTTTTTCATACCCTTCAGAAAGGAGGATCAGAAGCAGTTTGCATTCACATGAGGTAGACAACAGTATACATTCATGGTTTCCCCCAGAGCTATGTTACTTCTCCTGCTCTCTGTCATAATAGAGTATAAAGGGATGTGGACCATCTGGACATCTTGCAGAATATAACATATTGGTTCACTCTATTGAGGACATGATATTAATCAGATCTGAGGAGTGAGAAGGGACAATTAGTGCTTTGGCAAGATGCCTTTGCAAGATGCATGTGCTTCAGAGGGTAAGAGATAAATCCTACAAAGTTCTGCTGTGGAATTTTTAGGGTCCAGTGGTCTGAAGCATGCTGAGACATGCCCTCCAAATTAAAGGGCAAATTATTGCACGTTTTCCCTCTTAAAGCCAAAGCAGCAGCAGTTTGGTAGATCTCTGGGTTTTGGAGGAAGCACACTCTTCACTTGGGAATACTGGTATGACCTATTTATCTGTTGACATTAACAGGAACAGCTTTGAATGGGAGCTAGAGTTAAGAAAAGGTTCGGTAACAGGTTCAAGTTGCAGTACAAGCAGCTCTGCTGCTTGGGCCATGCCACCCCTCAGGTCCCACGGCCTTGGGGTTGCTGTGGTTAGGGAAAGACATCCTGTGGAGCTTCTGGCAAGCCCTGATAGGAAAACTGCAGCACAGACTCCTTGGGTTCTGGAGCAAGTCCATGTCTTCTGCAGCAGAGAACTAGGCAGCATTTGACCGACTTACCATCAAAAATCTCAAACTCATCATACTGCTTCTCGCTGAGGAAGTACTCCACTGTGAGGGAGATGTTATAGTCAGGCTCCACTCTCACCAGCCAAGAGCAGGTCTGGAACTGGGGATAGCTTCCAGGGTAACTCTGGCTCAGGATCACGCCTGTGGAGTCTGTCAGAAGCTCATTTGTTGGGCAGTGCACTTGGAGAAAGAAAGAGAAACACCAAGTATGTGGGGGTGGAGATGGAACTACAGCCAACACATTTGCTTTTCCCAATACAAAAGACAACCATTAGAAAATCAGTATTTGAGCACATTCAAGTCAGATCCCACATCCATCACTGTGCTGCTCCATGACATGAGGTGGCCTGAGATCCTGTGTCAATATTGCAGTCTTTCTGGGACTTGGGCTTTGCCAGTTGGTTGGAATCACTTCCTAGTTAAGTTGTGGGTTCTACTACCTGGTTTTGAGTAGGGGAGGATGGAACATACATACAGACAGCAGTAATGCTTCCCCAGATCCAAAGGAGATAATCTATAAAATGGGTTTTATTTGAACAAAGATGGTGCTGTATAGGGCAGAGGTAAGGACACGGGATTTTGAGTCAAAAACACCTGGATTTATAGCCCATCTCTGCCGCTTACTACTGGTGTGGTCTTGAACAAGTTATCTCCTCTCTGTGTGATGGCTTCTCCATCTCCAACACAGAGATAACACAGAGCTTACAGGGCTGTTGTGAGCATTATATAAAACATTATATGCTGGGTGCAGAGGCTCACGCCTGTAGTCCCAGCACTTTGGGAGGCTGGGGCGGGTGGATCATGAGGTCAAGAAATCGAGACCATCCTGGCCAACATGGTGAAACCCCATCTCTACTAAAAATACAAAAATTATCTGGGTGTGGTGGTGCGTGCCTATAGTCCCAGTTACTCGGGAGGCTGAGGCAGGAGAACTGCTTCCTGGGAGGCGGAGGTTGCAGTGAGTCGAGATTGTGCCACTGCACTCCAGCCTGGCAACAGAGCGAGACTCCATCTCAAAAACCAAAAACAAACAAACAAAAACAAACAAACAAAAATATATAATATGAAATAATATATGTAAAGCATGCAACATAGTGCTGCAATAAATTGTAGAGGGAATGATGATAACTGCATCTTGGACAGAAAGGTCCCAGAACTTGGCTGTGGCCTAATTAGTAGGATTAATATAGCTAAAGAAAAAAATGTCATTCTAAGGAAGACGTTGAGATTGGAACTTAGGAAAAGAGGAGCTGGAGGAGCAGGATTGGTTTTTTTGTCATCACCATGAATGGGAGGGAAGCTGCTGGTTCAGAGAGGCCCTTCTCCAGCACTGAGGAGGTGCTCTGTCCTGGAGCACAGACAAACATCACAGCAAACATCAAAGCAAACATCAAAGCAATTTCAGGACAATCCACTGCCATTTGCTTAGGTTGCGGACACCAAAGCAAAGTTCTGAGGACTAAATCGGCTTCTTCATTACATTGTTCTTTCAGTACAAAGGTGTGCATTGACAATAGTTGTAAGTATTCCGATCACTGCACACAGAGAAATCAGTATTTTGCAGTAGATGTGCCTTTAGACAGGCTTCCTGGGTATGCTGGATTCTGGGACACTGGTAAAAGGGAGTTTCTGGAACTGCAAGGCCAAAATTTAATCCCTGGATTACAATCTCAGGTAATGCTATTTTGGGTAGAAGACTTTGCTATGGGCTGTCCACCCATCTCACCTCTGCCTTCAGAGAAGTGAGGCTTGGTAATCAGCACTGGGGCTGGGCTCCTAGACAGAGTCTTGCTGTGGCCCAGAATTTCACAGGACTCATCCAGGCTTCTGCCTGAGTAGCTTTGAAAGGTACTCACTGACTTTTCCCAATAGAGCTTCCTTTTTAATTTTAAGGGGAGAAGGAAAACAAATGTCTTCTAGGAGGAAACTCACTTAGCTTTGACATGCTCCTGATTTCACTAATCCGATGACCAGCACAGGGCACTGAGATGTGGTGATACTTAAGTTCTCTTAGGCCTCATGATCCCCTCCTGCCTCTACCGGGTCTGCTATTCCTCACTGACAGTCCATATTGCAGGTTCTTCCTACTCTTGCTTTCACAGAAGTGAGGGAAAGGCTGACTTGTTTCCCCATAGGCTACTGAATATTTGCAGGTAGCAGTAGTTCTAGAAACAGTAGTTGCACTAGCGATAATATTAACAGCAGACATGGAGCAATTACTGCATGCCAGGCATCATCCTAAACTGGTTTATGTTATTAACCCATTTAATACCCCCATGGCATAAGTACTATTATTATTCTCAGTTTATAGAAGGGAAGACTGAGGGCAGGACAATCAGGTACCTTGCCTTAGGTCAGATGCCTGATGAGTGGAGACTATTTTTTGATCTTATTTGGGGTGACTAGCTGAAGAGAATTCATTTCTGTCAAGGCACAGTACACAGGAATAAAGACTGCTGTGGTCTCTCAGTTGCCTGGTTTGGCACACAGCACCTTGAGTGCATCCATGCATCAGTAAAGCAGGGATGGTGTGTGAGCCTACCCTTCCCTGAGGGCCCAGGGAGGGACTTCCTCCTTCCAGTACTCAGTATGCAATTCCAAGAAATTTCCAGGAAAGGAAAAAAAAGCAGGTGGAAATAGATGTGGCCACTGTGGCCAATTCACAGGTTCAGACATCAGAAGAGGGCAGAGAACCTATCTAGAGTGATCACTCACTCATTCCTCATGCACTCATTCATTCATCAGACAACATTTACCAAGGGAACTTTCATGTTATGGGGCAGTAACTGAGCTAAGAACTGGGAATAGAAAGAGGAACAAAACAAGGGCTTTGTTTAGGAGGAACTTCTAGGCCCCATACAGATGCGGATCCATGCAATTACCTTCACATATTGGGGGTGGGCCTTCAAACTGCAGGTAGGTTCCAAGTTTGCAGGTCAGAATTTCATTCCCCACTAAGGTAAAGCCAGGGAGGCATCTGTAGCGTACGATGTCACCTGTCAAAGAAAGACCAACATGTAGACTCTCTTAAGAAGTACGGTCAGGGATGATGGGCACCCATTTGTACCTTGAACACACTTCCAGGTGAGATAATCAGAGGAGGATCATGTTCTGTTCAGACTTAAATAACTAGCTCGGCTCCCATCAAATGGCCCAGACAACTGCTCCCCTCTCACAGCTCAGCCTCGCCTGAGCCTCGGAATGTTTCACATTTCAGGACATTTTATACTGTCTTGCATGGATTTATTTCTCAAAAAGATGCTGACTTGAATCACAGAAGAAAACTGTTTTCCTGGCTCCCCTTTTGATTTTATTTTGGGTGCAAACTCAGTGGACAGAACCTGCTGGCACAGGGCCTACTGTTTCTCTCTCCATAGACAGGAGCAGGGAGTAATGTCCACTGGCCCAACATCTCCCACCGCCACCTTCCATTCCTTCCCCAGTCCTGGGCTCGCAGTTCTTGCTGACTTGGGAGGTGGTACCTATGTTAAATTCTTCATTCTCTGTGACGACTTCGGCATTGGGGAGGATGGTGGGAGGAGGGCATTTGGTGAGTGGATAAGCTGAAAAGATAAAAGCAGGCAAGTCAGGGTAAGATCATCACTCTCCAGGTATGCTGTCATTCATTTGTTCAATTCTTCACTTTCTCATCCCTCATTTATTCACACACAGATATTCATGAGTACTTATCTGCAAACAGGGCAAGCTTAGCCAAGTCCTTTTTGCTTATCTTCTGTCATCCTTATTGAAATCAATAATAACAAAGGAGGGGAGATCTAAGAAGTCAGTGACATCATCACCAGCACTGAAGGGTGGGAGAGGAGCATTTTCTGAGTGCCTCGTGGATATTAGGTGTTTTATAGGCTGCCACTCAAACCCTCACAGCATCTGATTGTGCTGTGAGGTGCTCTTACTCTACTCGTGGGCAAGTGAAATTCAGAAAGGTGAAGTAAGTTCCTCAAGGTCACACAGGAATTAGGTGGCACAGGCAGGATTTGAATCCAGGTCTGGCGGCTCCCAAACCCTGTATCCTTCCCACCACTGAGCATCTACATGCTGTACGTGGCTTCTGCGATTACCCACTGAAGTCAGCTAACAAGCTGACCTTTCTGATCTTTGACCAGATACTTCTGGCTTCACAAATTTTCTAGACTGGAATTCATCCCTATGGGTAGAGACTGGATGATGCTAGAGGCAGGATGCTATTTACTGAGGCAAAGTTCAGTGTGGGTTCATAACCTGGCTTTTATTACTGGCACAGAGTCAAGTGCTATACAAGTGTTAGCTGCTCTTGCTGCCGCTACTATTGTTATTGTTGCTACTATTTCCAATCACCCCAATCCGTGCTATATTAAAAAAGTGTTCTTTAATAATACAAATATAATCATTATCATTGAAGAAAATTTGAGGTATTCTATGGAACAGTAGGAAGAACTCAAACTCATCCATTGCCCTCTCAGAGATAATGACTGTTAACCAATTACAGTACGTTCTTGGAGTGTTTATTCTCTGCATATATAAATATTTTTGTTTTACACAACTTGCATTATATGTTATATGTTTTGCATTGATCTTTGCATACTTACTATTATATTGCAAGAATTTCCCATATAATTAAATTTCTTCAAAAATATGATTGAAATAACTTCATAGGATTTAATCATACAGATTTACTAGAATGTATTTAACAGACACTCTGTTAACCATTTAGGTTTCCAAAAGTTTTGCAATTTAAAATAAAGCTGCAATGAAATCTTTTTTTATAAATGCATCTTTTATGGTTTTTTTCTTTTTCTTTTTTAACTAGAAAGGATTCAAGTATATGACCCTTTTGAAAGTACAGATGTCTCCTGCTGAATGTCAGTAATCTTTTCCTGGAAATCAAATGTTCTGTGTAAAGATATTAACTAGGAGCCTATATCCTATCATTTTAAGTGGGAAAAAATTATACTGTGTTGTACTTCAACCCAAAATACAAAAAGTAATTAAGACAAAATAAAATACCTAAATATATGCAACAACCATTATGTTAGTAGTTAAATACTTAAAACATCACAATCACCCAACAACATGACATGACAAAACAGTGCCTCTGTGCACTGCATACTGTACCATCAACATCCAGTGCACCGTGAAGTCTTGCAGCTTGAGACATTAGAAAACTCTAGGCAGAAAGAAGGTCTAGCTATGAAAGGCTTGGTGGGAATGCATTCAGGACTGGCGCTAGGTGGTAGAGTAGAGTTCACAATGAACAGCATGGAGTGACACCTCAGAGCCAGCAGCCTCTGAGACACACATCCCCGCCATGGAATTGGAGCCCCTTTCCAAAAGTCCGCGTGGGATTCTGACATTTTACCAAGTGTAGTTGGAATGCAACTTGAGACTTTCCCTGCATATAGATTTATTTAAAATGGTGTATTATGTTTTGGGGGATCTAAATGTAAATGTTTTCTGTAGATGCATTCGCTGAAATGTATTGAGAGATATGTAAGCTCTCTGAAATGTGGGTGTTAAAACTAAGAGGCACTCTTGAGGTAACCAAATGGGTTTACCTTTGATTTAACATAAACCAGGAAGGGCCACATCTGCGTTCGCTGCATGCTTCCATTTTGCCCTCCAGGAAAACGGTTCTCATTGATACTGTGAACAGAGTGACAGTTCCTCCAGCACTGGGTGCCATCATTCTTCTTTTACCCAGTTCATGTAATGATTGTCTATGGAGGGTTCACCCTGGGTCAGGCACTGTGTCAGGTGTTGAGGATACAAGAACAACCAAAACAAATACATTCCTTGCCCTCACAGAACTTAGGGCCAGCTGGGAGAGATAGTCATCTGTTTTAATCTTTGTTAACTTGCTAAACAAAAAAGCAGCATTTATTTTCTTTTAATTGGCATTTGATAACTAATTAGGCTAAGCATTTTTCACATGTTAATGGCCTATTTGCATCTCTCTTTTTAACTGTCTATTAAAAGAGTTGCAATAAACCAGTATGTTAGAAGTTTAAAGACTTAAAACATCACTTCATGATCACCCAAAAATATGGCGTGACAAAACAGTGCCTCTGTGCACTGCATACTGTGTCATCAACATCCAGTGCACCGTGAAACCTTGCAGCTTGAGACATTATAAAACTCTAGGCAGAAAGAAGGTCTAGCTATGAAAGACCTTCTTTGTCCCTATTTTTCTTATAAATTTGAAGAACTCTGAATATTCAAGGTTGACCTTAGCTGGTTAATTATATTTTCCCAGTTTATCATTTGCTTGGTTTTATTTATGGCACTTTTGATTTGTAGAAGTATTAAGTTTTTATGTAGCCAATTATACTTTTTCTTAATAAGTTAAAAAAAAAATTGGTGCCTTCCATTCTCAGCGTCATACTTATCTTTGAAACTTCTAAGGCATACTAAACTTTTCCAGGAAAAAAATGAATAAAAACAAATCCCTACTTAAATACAGCCTGGGTACTTTATATTTTGTGATTACTGTTTTGACTGCAGTGATTTTCCATTACATTTTAAAACTACCTTTTTTTTTTTTTTTTATAGCAGGGTCTTGCTCTGTCACCTAGACTGGAGTACAGTGGCACAATCATGGGTCACTGCAGCCTTGACCTCCTGGGCTTAAGCTATCCTCTCACCTCTGCCTCCCAAGTAGCTGGGACTACAGGCTCATGCCACCACACCTGGCTAATTACAATTTTATTATTATTTTTTTGGTAGAGATGGGGTTTCACAATATTGCCCAGGCTGGTCTCAAACTCCTGGGCTCAAGTGATCCTCCCACCTTGGCCTCCCAAAGTGCTGGGATTACAGGTGTGAGTCACTGTGCCTGGCCATAAAATTACAAATGTCTGTTTAATGGGGGAAGCTTATGGGATACTAAAAAGCAGCAAAACAAAAATTTCCCAACTCTTACCATCTAGGCATAAGTATTGTAAAGATTTTGCTGTAGGATCTTGGGTCTTTTACAGACACGCCCTCCCTGTTTCCCATCACACACACACACACACACACACACACACACACACACACACTCTCTCTCTTACCACATTGATGGTATCCCACTGTATCTACCATGTTATTGCTACAGAACTCTGGGGCAGGGGACATCCAAGGCTGACTCCCCATTTCATTTTGTGAATACCCTCCTTCTTCCCCTGGGGGGAAGAGGGTGAGGTGTTGAGAGAGCGTAGCCAGATTCTGGTGTGTGTGAACATGTGAACTACTGGGCGGTGGGCAGCTGCTTTATTAATGTTAGGCAGCAGTGGGCTCAGCAGCAGCCATTGTGAGCAATGGTCCTATCGTCTTCCTGGGAACATTATTCCTCAAGCTGCTGGGTGTGCTGGATTGGCCTTTCATTTGAAGCTTTTATTTATCTTTTTTTTTTTTTTTTTTTGGAAATGGAGTTTCGCTCTTGTTGCCCAGGCTGGATCCCAATGGTGTGATCTCAGCTCACGGCAACCTCCACCTCCTGGTTTCAAGTGATTCTCCTGCTTCACCCTCCCAAGTAGCTGGGATTATAGGCATGCGCCACCACGTCCGGCTGATTTTGTATTTTTAGTAGAGATGGGGTTTCTCCATGTTGGTCAGGCTGGTCTTGAACTCCCAACCTCAGGTGATCCGCCCACTTTGGACTCCCAAAGTGCTGGGATTACAGGCATGAGCCACCACACTCAGCCTCATTTGAAACATTTAAAACCAAATTAGCTTAGGAAAAAAAAACGTGAGCTCACATGGTTCATTTGAGCTTACCCAAGGACTGAGGCTCTGCTTTTGAATCTGGAGTCCATGCCCAGCTACTATTGAAATGCCTTTGTTTCTTGCTTGTATCTCTTTTTCAGAACATCACAAGGAGTGGTGAGTGTGGTCTAGGGTGGAAGTCCATAATCACTGCATTTTCTTGTGATACCATCACCTGAGTTTTTAAAATCACCTGCTTTTTCTTGTACTGAACAATATAAAATAAACATTTCCCTAAACCAATGAATTGTATTCTACATGAATGATTCTTTTTCTTTTCTTTTTCGAGACAGGTTCTCATTCGGTCACACAGGCTGGAGTGCAGTGGCACAACCATAGCTCTCACTGTAACCTCAAACTTTTGGGCTCAAGTGATCCTCCCACATTAATCTCCTGAGTATCTGGGACTGCAGGCATGCACCACCACACCCAGCTAATTTTTTTTTGGTAGAGGCAGAGTCTCACTATGTTGCCCAGGTTTGTACATGAATGATTTGTAATGACTGTATCTTTTCCTATCTCTTTCTCTCTAAGGATATATTTTAAATTTATAATACCTAATGTCTTACTATTTTTACATTTAGATTATTTCTAATTTCCCTGTTATAACATATCAAGCAATATCTTCATGCAAATATCTTTGCATAATTCCCAGAAGTAGGATTACTGGGTCCTAGGTTATATTCATTGGGAACCTTTGGATGTAAATAAATCAATTCAGACTAGAAGAAGCAAAAAGCCTCTCAGAGAAGAGAACCCAAAGGTTCTCTTTGCAGCGAGACTTCACAAAGGTAGAGGACAAGGGACTGAAGGCCCATCAGAA